AATTATTTAGCAATAACACAACACAGCCGACACATTACCGGCGTTTTAACGCTTTCAACTTTTTAATCAGCAACGGCCCACTGCATCAAAACTAATTTGATGCAGTGGCTGACTCAAGATCACGTTCTTACTCAAAGCTATCGAGAAGCTTTATTTCAGAAAAACACTCACTTGAATTTGGGCTCTTGTGCCGTGATGACTCCGATCTCTAGCTCTGAGGGCTTGAAGTCGATGGACAGAACAGTAGACAGGCATGAGATAGCCGTCTGTTTGGAGACAAAGGGGAGAACTTCATATTTAAACATGATACAGAAAATTAAAGTAAAAGAAAAAAGTTATTATATATGCATTTATTATACATACATACATACGAGGGGTGGGCAACTGAGTTCAGCTAATGGAAGACAACAGTCCCAGTTTCTCATGTACCCACCTCTGATATAAAGACTTTACCATATTAAAGAGGGTTTCAATAAGTCAGTATCTTTTTGATTCAGAGACCACAGGAAACCATTCAGAGACTGATTTCTAACTCCAACAGGGCTTGTTTGAATTTTTTTTCCAAAAATCAACAACCTTCCCTAACGTCAACTGGCTTGGAAAACACCAAGCAATTCACTGAAATTACCCCACATAGTCACAGCTATAAAATTCACACACATTTCCTGATACGTCAATAAAAATCACCTAACTCCCCTTACTCGGCTGTCCAGAAAGTATCCTGTAAAATCCCCAACATTCCCGAAGCTCCATAGGGTGGAAACGCCCTGCAGCCTTCATCGTTACCGGGCCGTTTTTGGACAAAATTCCAGTGCAACAGAAAAGAATATGGAATTATTTTGTGTATTCTGGTGTATTTTACCTCTATAGTCTGCTCATAAGTCCAGTCCAGCTTCTTCTTCACTTTCTTCTCCAGGAAACTAGTGGCCTCTGTCTGTTTCACTCCGGCTGCCGTGGCCTTGAAGCCGCAGTAGTAGCCGGCTGGATCGCACTTGAACAGCTGTGGGCCCAATTCCTCATCAATCCCGATCACTATCATACCTGCAGGGTGGAATGAAAACAGGAGAGGACAAAAAAGAAAAGAAAGAAGTCATATAAAATGGCAAATGGTCTGTATTTGTATAGCGCTTTACTTGGTCCTAAGGACCCCAAAGCGCTTTACACTATACACAATTATCCACCCATTCACACACTGGTGATGGCAAGCTACATTGTAGCCACAGCCACCATGGGGCACACTGACAGAGGCGAGGCTGCCGGACACTGGCGCCAACGGGCCCTCTGACCACCACCAGTAGGCAACGGGTGACGTGTCTTGCCCAAGGACACAACGACCGAGACTGTCGGAGCCGGGGCTCGAACCGGCAACCTTCCGATTACAAGACGAACTCCCAACTCTTGAGCCACGATCGCCCCATTGCACACCACATTTTTAGACACGCAAAAAAAAGGAGAAATTTAACAACTTTCTGCATCAGATTTCAAAATATTGTGTAAACTGAAGCTTGCAGACATTAAGAAAATGCTCTGAAAAAAGTTTCAATTTCAGTTTTAATACATGGAGTGATATCAAAATGCAAACACACACACACTAACACAAATTACGTACAGCAGCCTAGCGGTCTCATCTCTGCGTTCTGGGTGTAAACCTGGGAGATGTCGGCCATGCGTTTGCACAGCATGTCCACGGGCACCTCGTAGCCATACTTGTACATCCAGTTAGCCGCCTCGTACCGTGCACGCTGCACCTGAGACCTGCCATCAGCTGGACAGAAGGAAGGGAAAGAAAATCATGTCACAGCAGCTCACATCACTTTAAACTGCCATTTAAAACATTTGCTCTCTCACTAATGGGACACGGGCTTGTTTTAATAAATGAATTACTTTGAAGTGATACAGCCCTCGGGTCAGGCATTTCCCTGCAGGAGATCCGACTATGTTCATTTGTGTTTCAGTTCTGTTTAGTTGTGTAATATAAACATTTTTAGTTACAGCTCATGTGGTCTCCCTCTGTAAAAATTGAGGGCTCATCCAGGATCAGTCTGGTCAGATGAAGCTGTAACTTGGGCTGGAGGCCAGAATTATTTAAGTGCTTTGACTTTTTAAAAAATTAACAGCTGGTATGATATGGTAAGTTGGTCTCATTGGAAGTGGTAGCAGGCTCTTAGAGGTAGCTTTCTGCCAACCTTTTTAAGAGCTAGGTGTCTTAACAGGAAGCTTAGTTTAATTGTATACATCAGCATTGTTTTTCCAATACTAGGGTTTGTTGTGGATCATGAGATGAGTCAGATGAGACATTGCTTACTAGGAATAGTTATTGTAGCTTTAATCTGTAAATGGAAACAGACAAGGCTATAAGCTCAGGATCACATCTATACCTAACGAGGGAGTACTGTATGGTGGGGACTTTCTGGACCTTCTGATTAAGAGTTCTTCTACCACCTCTTTTTAAGGTTACAGGTTAGTTATTTTCCAGCTTAGCTTTGTTGAATCAACACAGAGCTACGCCATAGTGGGCACTTACACTTGTGTGTTCGAGCATATTCCTGGCTGAGTGCTTACATGGACTGCTAGAGCTTTGAAAAAGAGAAAATGCCATGTCTACACTGCTATTATTGCATTACAGTTAATAATATTATAGCCAGAGACGTCAATCCTCCTCCTGAATGTCAGCAACACAAAAGAGATGTGGGTTGACTTAACATCATGTGGACAGCTACAGGTACTTTGGTGTAAACTTGAGTGACAGACTGCACTGGAGGACCAACAGTGATGCAGTGTACAAGAAGGGGATAAGCAGATTCTACTTTCTGAGGAAGCTCAGATTGTTTAGTGTGCGGCAAGAGGTTGGCTATCTACCAGTCTTTGGAGTTACATGGATAAGGTTAACTGGTAGTTCTAATTTGCCCCTAGGTTTGAATGTGAGTGTGAATGGTTGTCACTCTGTGTGAGCTTTGTAACAGACTGGCGCCCTGACCAGGATGTACTTCTCGCTAGGATAGGCTCCAGGCCCTCTCTGTGAATTGGATAAGTGGGAGAAGATGGATGGATAACTGTTGTATATAAAATTTTGTGCTACCTAACATAATAATGCCTTCATTATGGGCTTGTATACTTCTAACCGTGCTGTTTTTATTACACTATTTGAATTTCTGTTCTTGTGGGATCAATAAAGTATCTTTAATTTTTCTAATTTTCTGTGTTTACACAGCACGTTTACTACCAAGCAGATCGATCACAGTGTTGTTGATTGTTTTTCTGGGTTGGTACACATCCAGCTGTGCCACTGCCGATTCATGATTAGATGAAATCAAACTTTATGTAGGCAGAGGCTGACATTAACTTGTTGTCTTAATATGTTGCTCTTAAAGGTTTCATCAGCCCCGAGACTGGGAATCTCCAGGATGTGCTGGAGCAGGAGAAGAAGCAGTACAACCTTTGTGGTTTAGTTTTAATTGCACATATCAGCAGTTTTTCCAGTACAAGCATCTGTTGTGGAACATAAGTCAGATGAGACACTGCTTACCAGGAATAATCAGTCTCATTATTTTTTCCATTCATTTGTACTTTAGTGTGTGATTTCATCATGCGACTTTTACCCACTGTTATGTTATTATTCTATTAGTGTTCAGTCCTTGTGTGCAGTTTCATCTTAAATGGTTTTTTTTAATATAAACCATAAACCTGCCACAGATTATTGATGAATATATGTATGTGTGACTAAATCTGGCACTTTAATGACAGACCTGAGTTTTCATATTAAACACTGCCGCTTCTTAAATAAAACCCACAAACAGAAACAGATGTAAGCTTCACATGACCCTCATCTGTTTACTCACATACAGCGCTGTTTGTCTTGTCTTTTTCCTGTACTTAAATCTGCTCTTCCTTGTTCTACAACCTTTATTGTCGACTGAAAAAACACATTTTTTTTTTATACACTCTGTCTCAAATGTCAAGCAAGTGTTTATGTGCAGTTTCTGGAAATGTCTTGTGTTCTTCTGCAAGCTCAGCTGCTTGCCACTGAAAAAGTTTGCATTATTTGAAGTATAATTTGTAACTCAGTAACTCTGAATAGTCTGCAGGAAAGAAGAGGATAACTAAAATGTGCGGCTGCAACATCATGAGGAGAGTATATTGCAACTTCAGTTACACTATATTACCAAGACTAGCGCCTGAGAGCGATTCATTCTTTCACAAATGTTTGCAGAAGCAGTCTGCATGTCTAGATTTTTTACACCTGTGGTCATAGAAGTGATTGGAACACCTTGATTTCAAATGGGTGAGTGAATACTTTTGGCAATATAGAGTATATCTGTTACCTTAACTCCAAATCACAACTCTGCTAATACACTGGAGGCTGCATCAGGGCCAAATCAGCCCATTTTCTTATTATTTTATACAAAAGAAACAAAGAAGACTGGAGAAAAAAAGCTTAACATTGTCCCCCATAATAAGAGTAGATAATAAGCTTCCTGCTGCTTACCAGTCATGCCGGTCATAACACATCCTATGTTCTCTGTGATTTTGAACAGGTGTGTGACTGTCGCAGCGTCCAGGAGCTTGTCCTGAGGAAGACACAAAGAAAGGCGCCCCTAACAGATGAACTCGCCACACGGGCCACCATCGATACACCAATCAAAATGTCGTTTTAGGAATCGGATCACACGAATGTGAAAGAAACGCAAACTCACAGGAACTTTCTTCTGCGTCACGACTACAGCACAGTCCTTCCCTCTGACGGCCACAGAGGTCAGTCCGCCCTGGTTTATCGCTTTAAAGGCATACTCTGAAGAGTGAAGAGAGGCAGGCAAAATGAAATATACACAAACTTCATGACTGAACATTTTAAAAAAGTAACAAGCTAGCTACTTGTTCTTCTTATCAGTAAATTGATGATGATTGTTAAATGACCTGTAAATTTCACTTCCTGGTGTCACAAATACATCACTCTTTGAGGTGCTGATAAAGAAAGGCACCTTTTACTTATTTTCTTTTTCATTTTGCTTCTTCTCTTTCTTCAGTGCTAACACATCGATGTCAGATTCTTTTGACAAAATATTTCCATATCTTCATGATTGAACTGAAAGCAATTATAACTCACACAAGAGAATGAGGAAACTATTTGTTATATGTTATTCAGTTCTTTACATTTGCTTACAGTTTCCTTGTTTCACTTAGCCTTTAAATAGAAACACAAATTAACGCTTTATAATTTATTAGAGTTATTATGATTTTGTGTTTTTCTTTCTATTAATTTGAAATTTTGTTTACAAGTTCTTGTAGTTCAGTTTCCAAACTACAGTTATTTGTTGAATTTTTTGTTATCTGTCTGTGATGTATAATTTGGAGACGTGGCACTGAAAAAATGGGCCAAGCTGGAGGTGGCAGAGCTGGAGATGCTCATATTTTCATCCCAGAAGATTAAAAATGAGTACATCAGAGGGACAGCTCAGACTGTGGTTTGGCGACAAAGTCAGAGAGGCAATGCTAAGATGGTTTGGACATGTACAGAGGCGAGATAGTGGATACATTGGACAAAGAATGCTGAAGATGGAGCTAGCAGGCAGGAGGAAAAGAGGAAGACCTCAGAGAGGATTCATGGATGCAGTGACAGAAGACATGCAGAGATCTGGTGTGACAGAGTAGGATGCTAGCGACAGGGTGAGATGTGGATCTGCAAAAGAACAAAAATGACTAATGCACATTAATGCATGCTGCATGTTCGACTCCCCTGCTTTAAGAATTTTAGAGAGATGCTGTTAGAATAAAAACAATACTCATATAAACACATGCGCATGCGTGGTCCTGCCGGCCGTATGGACCTTAAGCTAGAACTAACGTTTAATTTAGTCCCCTTTATACATTATTAGCTAGCTTTTACTAGTCTATAATTGCAGCTAACTGAAATGTTTTGCTTTAATGATATGACTCATTAGTTGCTCCGTTAAGTCGGATTAACTGCCTCAATACATTTAATTAATTTTCATAATAGCTATTTTCTTGCCACACTGCCCTGTGGTGACATATTTAATCAGCCTTGAGCTTTGTGAGTAGCTGCTGTTAGCCTGCTAGCAGGCAGTGATGACAGAGCAGGTTAAGGTTCTGTTCGGTTCTCTTATTACTGACCGACTTGGTAGAGCCTTCCCTCCGGGGAGAAGATGGTGATGTGCCGGTCAAACCCCGCACTCGACCCCCGGGACATGACGGCAGGAAATAATTGAGGTAAAGTGGTCTAGACCGAATCTGAAACTAAACTGAGGTAAAAACAGAAGCAAAACATGGCACGATTCTGCACCGGAAGCAGACGAGAGCTTTCATATCCGGGTCAACTGTCTGTAGTTTTTGTATTTTTATTTTTAACAAGTAGTTCAATCAGGTGGTGTATTCGTAACAATATCAAAATATATTTCTTGACAATTACAGAATATGACGTTTGTGCAATTTTCTTTTTGGAGTAAAGACAAAACCTAAAAGTTCTTTCCTAAAAGGCCTTTTCACCAGCTACAGATGAAGATTGTTAGATTTGCTTTCTTTTCCCGTTTGACCTTTAAGAAGGAATGTTTCCCAAGAGATTGTGTGTATGAATAGATTCTGGAAACTTGAGAAAATTCAAATTATATTCAAACTTGTGCTGCACAATTAAAGTTGTACTTCCTTAGATTTTTTTTCTTCTGGTTAATATTTTTAAAAGAAAGTGTTTGGGTTTTTGTATTTGGTTTATATTCTGAGTAAAAACCAAATTGTTCCAAGCAGGATATGAGATATTTATTTATTGTATTTCTGTGAATGGGGGACTGTGTATAAAAATAGCTGTAAATCCTAAGCAGTTAATGTAATAAGTCTGCACTTCGATCACATCTTAATTGTTTTATTTAAAGTCCAATGTTAGTGGATGCACATAGCCAAAATTTGAAAAATTACATTTGTTGTACATCTTGTTCAAATATCCATGGATCTGGCTGTACCTATTATCTAATATTTAATCATATTAAATTGAAATATGATTAAAACAGTACAGACACTGCAGTGATGGTAAATGTTTATTTACAGGTCCACAGTTTTATTAAAAGTCTTCAGTACCAGCATTTTTTTTATATTCCAAACTGTAAAAAAAGACAGTCTTCAGAGCTTTTTGTTGAGACACAGCCAGTGTTGTGGTACTTCATAGGTGCTCCTGTCCTCTGTTTCATCATAAGGGATGTGCCATGACTTTCCTCCTGAGGTTTGGACAATGGTGTCATAGCTGGGAATACTCTGGGAAAACACACAAACGAAAACAGAGTTAATTTTGTGATGCTTCCTTCTTTGAGCCTTGACCCTCTCTTCTCATGGTCTCATTCTCCACCTGAAATCGGACCCTCCTGCCCGCTGTGACGTGCCCGTCCACCACCAGTTGGTGCCCTCTCTGCCACTTGAAGAAGAGCCGCTTGGTGGCTCCATCTGGCAGGCAGGCCTTGTGGTCCCTCATCAGGTCCCTGCTTACAAACCGACAGTGGTTCCCAGAGTGCAAAGTAGCGTACAACAAGAAGGGGTCATCCTCTGAACTGAAAAGCACAAAATGCAGAAAATAAGCAGAGCTCTACATCTGAATTCTTAGTCTGTGTTATGGTTTCCTATATATGTCAGCCACCCAGATTGTGTTGCAGCACCCACAAACACATTTAAAGAGGATCTTTTGATTCTTGGATGATTTTTAATGACATTTTTTTTTGCTTGTGTGCTGCCTTTTAAACAGGCAGGTATTACCATCAACTTAAACACATCACAAAACAAATAAATTTCTAAGGTGTTACATTTATCCATTTTCTGCTGCTTATTCGGGTCAAGAATAGTAACTCCCTCTCTTCAGCCACCTCCTCCAGCTATTTTGGAGGGACACCAAGGTGTTATCAACCCAGCCAACAGATTTAATCTCTCCAGAGGCTCCAGAGCCACAAGCTGTGGCTGTATAGACAGATTGCATTGTAGGTTTGCACAGTGCTTGTTGAGACAATGTCTTCAAGCCAAGACAGACATCACTTAAGCTTAAATGTAAAAACTCTGTTGGTCTGCATCTACTCACCATGCAGGAATGTCCCGCTTTGGCCTATTCCAGGACAAAGAAGGTCAGCAAGATAGTTTGAGAAGATGGTATTCAAGGAGCCATTTCTGCATCTGTGTGTGAATCAGTGAATCTTGCTACTAGCCAGCCTGAGACCAGCCGAAAGCAACAACTCTCAGTGCTAAATATGCAATGTTGCTCTAACATGACAAAGGAAAGCTAATGAAACATTTACAGTCCGTAAAGATGTTTTTTTAAAACAATTTTCCATAATACAACAATTGTCTGTTTCCCCAGCAATGCCTTCCAGATCCTCCTGGGATCTTCCCAGGTCTGGATATCCTTCCAGTTGGATGTGCTGGAAAAAAAAACAAAAACCTCCAAAGCGAAGGCACGAGGGAGAAGCACCTCAACTGGTTCCTATTAACACAAAGGAGCAGCAGCACTACTCCAGGCTTCCCTCCGATCTCCAAGCCTGGCAGGCATTCTAGGGATAAAACTTCAGCTCTCTTCCTACCCTGACAGTCTGACACAATGCCCACATTTCTACTGATTCTACATCTTCCAGCCGACCTTATAATCCACCTTCGCATCATTGTGAATAAAGATCCCGAGACACCTCAACTCATTTGAGGCACAAACTCTCCCCCCCCAAACCAGAAGGAGCAATCGACCATTTTCATCCCGGCTGCTAACCACCCAGCGCATGCTGAAGGTAGCGCTCCAGTGAAACAAACAGATCATGCAACCGATTACTTTCATGAAGCAGTAAAAATAGTTACTGATTACCGTTTTACAGAGTAACTAGTAAACAGGAACATTCCCAGTACTGGTTTCCTGTCTATCCAATGGAACATATTTCATGCTGTTCTTTTTATATTATCGTTATCATTATTATTATCATAAGATGCTCACATATTGTCGGTAAAGAAACAGTGGGCCTTCTGCTGGATGAGGTTCATGTTGTTTCTGTCCCAGGATCTGGAGGGTCGCAGCATGTGTTTCCTTCCCAGCACCAGGACATTCAGGCCCTGACGGTCGACGAGCTCTGACACCACCAGCAGCAGCTGAAACACACAAATATATGCCTTTCTTTATATTCACTTTCAAAACGAGAACATTAATTAATAAAAATAATTACTAAACTGATGGCCTGGATTTGGTCTACAATGCAAGCAGCTGATCCCACATGAGCTTTTTGGGGGGGGGGGGTTATACGTTTTACATCTGGAAAAGCTGGGAGTTAGAAAAGACGTGTAGGTCCAGGAAGAGTCATTAAAGACATACAATATAAAAATTACATACATTTGGATGTACATACACATGCATTTTTACATATGTATGATTTATGTATTTATTTTCCTATGAGTGAGCCTACATAGGCTCATTGCCTCAATAAAAATGAAGTAAAATGTCTGTGTACTGCAGTAATGTTTACTTCTTTAATCTCTACAAATAGACATCTAAAGAACTGGCAGCCACCGGACAAGATGCTTTGTTACTGGAAGCTTTATAGTTTCTATTTCTAGTCTGAGTAGCACTGACTAGTCATGGCTGAGCAAGCCTTAGATAGCCAGACTGTAAAAAACAGGAACGCATTGGCTGAAATGCCAATTTAGGGTTTTATTTGCTCTTTTAAATGTTTCGACAGTCAGAGTCGTCTACTCCCAAGTTAATTATAGTTAACACAATTAACTTCAATTGAATAGTTTTCTGCCTACAAATGGAAAACTATGAAGCCACATTCTCTGATTTCACTGGAACATTTTTAAACTTTTATCTGCAACTCGCCTTGCACGTGCTCGTCTTACAATAGCAATAAAATGAGAACATGAAAAATGAAAACTGCATGACTCCTGGCCTTTTATTTGCATCTATATTGGCTGACACTGTATACAAAAAACCAGGACATAACTACAAATAAATTAACACAAACATTAATGCTGGCAATGCTGTCGGGTACTTGAGCAGGTTACGCTGCGGTCTCTACAAAGATCAATCTCACAAGTCTAAATAAGCTGTTTCTTTGTAAATATTTGTTGATATTTGCAGTCGGGAAAGAGCAGCCAAAGCTGCAGGCTGCTCACAAATATTTAACGATGTTTCCAACATTTCCAGTGTTTCTTATCTCAGCTTCACTGTCAGCAATGTCTCTCAAAACTATGTGTGAAAAATGTTGTTTATAAAACAGTTTCTGATGTTCAAGCTGCAAATACACAATGCACTGTTTATCTATTTGCAGCCATTCAGCTTGTTTCATCTCAGTGAGCTGATGGCATGTAAGCAGTCATCCAGAACTCTGAATAGTGAATTCAGCAGGTAATTCATATTGAAGCAGTACGGCTGTCCTCCAGTTTCCTTTGAATAATATGCTTGATGTAAATTTCGATCTCTTTTGCATTTATTTTCATAAATTATTTAACTTTCCCACAAACTAGATGACTAGATAGGGAAATAGGCTCATCAGTCTGTACTTTCCTTTGTCTTGCAGCCACATATGTGAGAAAATTGGGGCAGAATAAGCCATCACACACTCACATCCTGACAGACACATGTAGGCAGGCTGACAAGTACTCTCATTACTGTTAAAATCAGGTACTGGGCAGTTTTACGTGCATCTCCCAAATGCATGCTCTAAAAAAAAAAAACTACACACACACTGCAGGTTTACTCATTCTGTGACTGGCAGAAAAGCCCCTGAGTTGGACAGATATGCATGTAGGAAGAAACCACTAAAATCAAGACTGTGTAACTATGTGTGAGTGAGTGCGGATTTACACACAGGGTCTGCCCTGTGGGTAAATCTGCATCTCACACTTTTAATGCATGTACACCTGTGCATATTCTTACTGTCTCTGACTGCTTGCTTTTGTCCTTGTTGCTATTTGCAACATTAAGCCCATCTACAACCACATCAAAGGCTGGCTTCCTCTTCACAAACAACTTGAACCGCTGCAGCTCCTGAACAGACACACAAACAGAGAGGAAGAAGAATTATTATATGTAAAGAGAGCGATATGTAGGGAAATAACAGTCAGTGAGGAGTTTTTATAAAGAAAGTGATCCATGAAGGTACAACAGGTACGACACAAAAGGCATCTAACTTAATTGTTCACAAAAACTTACACAAAAGCAGCACTGAAAATCAGAGAAGTACAACAGCGAGTGTCTACAGCCATCTGTAAAACATGGTGGAGGCTCTATTGGGGTTTAGTGTTATTTCAGGCAGTGGTGTTAGGCATCTTTTCAAAACTGATGAAATTATGATGTAAAAAAGTACCCTGAGATTATAATCCACCATGCAGAATCATGTGTAAGTTATCTGATTAGCATTAGCTTGAGTTCCCAGCATGACAATGATCCCAAGTGGGGAAAAGCACACCTGGAAAGGAAAAACACAATGAAACAGCAGTGTGGGATCATCTAAAAGCAGCCAACGTCGGTCCATTTGTACTTAAAGCTCATCCAAGAGTATTTAATTTCTAATATTTTATTAAGTTGAACTAATTAGCAGCTAACTGTGTCCTGCACCCATACAGTTTGTGGCAGGTTTGCAAGAATTAGCCGATAACCTCTTCATCAAGCATGAGCAATTGTGGCTCCAAAACAACAACAACAACACAGGAGCCAAAAAGCGTCACAAACCAGTGGATGACATCGCAGTAGCTGCATCCATTGTTTATGTAAAGCCTATGTTATGTTCAGCAAAAAGCATAGTTGCCCTCTGTGTAATGTTTCCGATTGATAATTTGACCCGAGAGCACGGTTAATGTGCAGAAAACATCTGCAGAGGTTTCTAACAACATCATAGATGGTTAGTTTGCTACTGAGTCAAAGAGCGTATCTGAGCTCCACCTGTGAGCTGATGGTTGGCTGATTTTCTCACCAACTGATCAAAGGCCTGCCAGTAATAAATCAAGCTGGACTTTCCTTCCCAGCAGGCAGATGGCAGAGTGCCAGCTAGTCCTCTGTGTTAACATAAAGTTTAATAGCATATTCAAATAACGCTTATCAATAATAGATAATCGTGTTTTGTTTTTACCTTTTAAGCTGCCTCAGACTAGTCAGACTAATATGTTAGCCCTTGGTGAGCCCTTATCTTTACTACACAGAAATCTAAGGACATCTGCAGCTGTTTTCATAACACCCAAGACATGCAGACCACAGGGGAGGTAAAAAGCTCCATCTATGCAGAATTTGTTCAATTTGCATTTCTTATAAATTTCACACCACATTTTATAATTTTTATGCACCACTCAGGTCAAAACTTGTAAAAGCTCTGAGGCAGCTTTATGCCATAACAGGAAAGCTGCTTTGAACCTGCATGGGAACCTGTCAGTGCTTTCAGTTTTCACCAACAGCAATATGGAAATAGGCTGCTGTGAATTCCCCTGGAGTGAATCGTGATTGCATCCACAGTATCATGAACGCACATTAAAATGAGTGTCTTTAATGTCACGATCTAGATTTTTTTTTTAAACTGCCACATGCTCTTATTTATGCTCTTATTAATTTTGACTGCCTAAACACACCCGTCATACTCACTAATTCATTCTGCAGCAATGTTTGATTAAGAAGAAAAGGAAGAAAGACAATAAACGAAAGCCGCAGACGAGCAAAGAATATGAGGAGAAGAAAAGAGAAAGACAAAGTCCAGCATAATTATCCAGGGACTTTCCAGAGCTGATATGTGAAACCAGCTCACTGTGCTGCTGTGGATTACACGACTACACACACACACACACACTCATAAAAAATGCATAAGCTTATAGTATCACTTAAGTGCCACCTTTATTACACAAAGCACAGTAGGGTTCTGTAAACATATCCATTCCCACTGAGCTGTGTCGTGTGCACATAATTAACTCTATCAATTTCAGCTCAAACACTATTTAAAAAAAACTTCCTGCTGAGTTTAGTTCATCTCACTTCTCAGTTATCTCACTTCTGACACTTGTCATCATTTCCCCCTTTACATTTTGATTGGAGTCTACATTTTATATCTGCTTATGCACCAAATAAATATTTAAGATTAAAAGAGCCGGTTTATGTTGACTGCGTTTTCAGCCAGCCACTGTGCTGCTGGACTGTGCAGCCACATTCTGCAAAGTCCAGCAGCACAGCTCTGCAGTAAAAGTCCAGACCGTAGAGCCATAAACCAACAAAAGCAACAAAGGAGGCATTGAATTGTTCAGTAGTTGAAATACTATATGAGTACTAATGATGATGTGCACCTGCACGAAGCAAACGATCTGCTTTTTCATAAAACACAGCCTAGACTGTGCTATTTCGCATTATGTTAAAGCGTACTATAGCCACAACACTTTATCAAACTTTTTGTCAAGTAGACAAAAATTTTGGACAAGTAGCCGCGCCAGAAAACAGATACAAAAACCACATCCTCGTATATATACGCTCATCTGCTAGTATTTCTTTTTTGTAGGTACAGCGGTTCAACTGCTTGTTAACACAAATATCTAACCTGACAATCATAAGATACTCATTGCTTTTGGGGATGTAGAAAGGGCCAAGATGTTCAAGAAATTCAAATCATCAGAATGAGGAAGAAAGGTATTTGTGTGGATGGGATTTTCCCACACAATCATCTCGAGAGTTTACAGAGAATGATCCGAAAAAGAGAAAATATCCAGTAAGCTGCAGCTCTCTGGATAAAAATGACTTTTTAATGCCAGGGGTCAGAGGTCAAAATGAGCAGACTGTTGATAGGAAACAGCGGGAACAAAAAAAAAAACAACATTCATGACAACCAAGGAATATAGAAGAGCTTCTCTGAATCCACAGCATGTCAAACCTTGAAGCAGAAGGGCTGCAGCAGCAGAAGATCACACCAGATGACACTTCTGTCAGCAGACAGCAGGAAGCTGAGGCTATAATTAACACAGGCTCACCAAAACTGGACAACAGAAGACTGGAAAAACATTCCCTGTTCCAATAAGTCTTGATTTCCAACGGTAGGATCAAAATAGGGCATGAACAACATGAAAGCATGGATCCATCCTGCCCTGTCAAAGGTTTAGGCCAGTGGTTGTAGTGTAATGATTTGGGGGATATTTTCTCAACACAATTTTGGCCCCTTAGTTCCATCTGAGCATTATTTAAACACCACAGCCTACTTGAGTATTAAAGCTGGATGTAAAGCTGACAAATCTGCATCCCTGTTGTGGAAAAAGGGAGAATTCAGGCAGTTCTAAATGCAAAAGGGGCACTAGAAAGGTGTAGTTACTTAGGTAGCCCCGTAGTACTAACCAAGTTAGTACTAGGTTAGTATTATCATGTTCCATTAATCACTAAAAAAAACCCTGCTCTGCACCAGCTTATGTAATCAGAATAAGCTAATGTGGTGATCTCACCAGGTTAAAAGAGACCCACCTCTGTTACACTGAAAAGTCTGACTTTAGGCTCAGTACATGTCAAACTCATAACTGAGTGGTGGCCAGAAGCTTAAACACAAATGAGCAAACCAAAAATTGCTCCTACAGCGAGGCTCTGCATTAAAATCATGCTAATGTTAATATTGTTTTAAAATAAAAACAGGATTAGTGCATTCAGAGTTTATTCACAGCGACTCTCTTTGTGGATAAAGGGATGTGTTGTTGCATTCTCTGCTCTAATAGTCAATCTTTGACCTCTGCTATCTAAACATATATGAGTGCTATTTGAAAAGTAAACAGACACTTTGTTTTTTGCACTAGTTATCACCAAACAAAGACCGAAACAAACTGCTGCCTTTCTTCCCCTTTGTGCTGATGCCCTCCTTCTACCCCTTTTCCTTCCTTCACGAGTTGCTTAACTCTCCTCTGAAGCACTCTGTTTGCCCTTGAAATAAACTGCCTTAAATGGGGAATTAACAAAGCTCATTTAAACTGTCTGTCTGCTCAGCAGGAGGTAGCTGTGGGCTACGTTCACATGGCCGTCCGCATGCTGGAAATTCCCTTAATTGAACCAACTATAACTGAGCCAGATAAAGACACAAGAACATGTGCAAAGCGAGCCCTATTTTAATAATTTAAATATGTCATATTATTAACCACACATTGCCGGTGTTGCCCAGTTGTTGTTTTTTTAAATAAACTTCATTTTATGTTTACTTTAATTGCATTATTAAAAAAGGAGTACATTCCAATCCAATGAAAAGCTTGTACCTTGGCTCTCGACACAGACGCTGCACATATGCATGCACAGCAAATAAGGCTCTTACAACACAGTCATAATTCAGCGTTTTAAGCTTGTTTGTAAGTGCACTGCTGTCTGTCTGCTGCTGTCTGTCTACATATTTGCAGTCACATAAAGAATCCAGCTGAACGCATGTAAATGATCTCATTTTCATTTCATGTTACTTGGAAAATTCACGAAGCAGAAAAAAAGCCAAACATTCCCCTTAAACAAATAAATTCATGGGAAACGGGATCATTTACTTTGTTGCCAAGAAACTCACGTACATACACAACATCAAGCTACAAGCACAAAGACAGCGAGGAAATGTCCATGCAGGCTACGTTCACAGGTAACAAAGTCCACCTATTTCCTCTGAAGCTCACAAATACACCCTTCATTTGTTTAGTTCATGTGAAAATTGAGTGGAAATTTTAAATAGTTAAATCACCTTGCTCTGAATTGGGTGGGTGTTTGCAAAAACCACAACCTCTGTTATTTTCCTGTTTCTTCAATTTAATCAATTAGCTAAAGTAAACTTAATTAGCTGTGTAAATATGTAAACCATCTTCGCAACTTCCACTGAAATAAAGAGGAAGACTGACCTTGTGGCCAACCCACATGACTTACTTTTGTACAGAAGGCCTTTGTCAGCCATCCAATTCATGGTCACCAGTGGGCTGGAGCCTATCCCAGCAGCCATATGGCTAGAGGCAGGGTACACAGTAATTGCCCATAGGTGTAAATGTGAATGTGTCTCTGTGCTAGCCCTGCAGCAGACTGGCGACACGTCTAGCATGTACCCTGCCTCTTGCCTTGCTTATCCAGCAAGACAAATCTCATTCTGCATGTATTCCACGAACATGAATTGGTAGTAAAAGAGTCTGCGTGCAAACTGGTCTGTTGCACTGCAAATAGTTCAGCTTCTGCACAATTTAAGCAAACAACATATAATATGTTAATTAGTGAACTTTAGAGGTGCTGGCTGGGTCTCGTGAAGCTCACTGCCGGCTCACAGTCGTTTAAATCATCTTGTTTAATCTCTAGTTCACTCTGCAGACAAAAGTAGCCCACATATGATATTTCTGGCTTACATGTGACTCATATCTGGTTTTTCACAACAGCATGAACAGCGCAAACCACATGGAATCTGATCTTTTGTGTTCTATTTTGGGTCATTTTCATATGAGCCTACATCTGATAAAAATTAGTTGGTTTTTTTTTTTTGCGCAATGCAATCTCATGCAACTTTTGTCCCTCACCTGGCCTAAAATACTGTGCACAAGTCTTGGGGCACTTCTTATTATAGAGAAAGCAACAGTGAGTAAAAGCTGGTGGAGGCTTCATCATAATTTGGTGCTGCATTATAGCAAAACTGATGAAATTATGCAGTAAAGTTCCATGAATTTTTGATTCACTGGCAATACTATCTGGAAAGTGTTCGATTGGCAAGAGCTTCGTTTTTAAGTATTGCAATGAATGCAAACACACATCCTGAAATCTCTCCATATTGTGACAGATGCAAAACTGCTGAAGCCTCACTGATCCACATGTACTGGTCTTGTCCCAGTCTTGTTCAGTTTTGGACAGAGGTTTTCCATAACCTGTCCAGGATTCTCAATGAGACGCTGCCCCCTTGTCCCCTTCTTATTCTGTTTGGCATCAGTGGGAATGAGGCGTTTCTACTGGCCTCTAAAAGACAGGTGCTATCATTCTGTTCGGTGTTAGCCAGGAGGGATATTCTACTGAGGCGGCAGGATGTGGCCCCTCCCAGTCACAAACAGTGATTACATGACCTCATGTCATGTCTAAAACTGGAAAAAAATGGGTTTTTGTTTTCTTTTTTTTTGTTATTTTCCTTTTTTTAAAAAAAAAAAAAAAAAAATCTTTTAGAGCAAAGTGTATGGGCTAATTTGTGGTCCGATCAAAAATCAACTGGCTTTTCCTGCACATTAAGAATAAATGTTCACTTTAACGGTCTTTGTGCTTGCTTCTGTAGTGCAGAATGGCCTTTGCGATGTATTTTTTATTGTCTGGAGTCTGATTTTGGCCAAATTTACAGGATAAAGCCAAAAAAACTGCTGTGATTTAAGTTTTGCATAATCTAACGTAATTCTTATCTATAAATCAGAAATTGAAAGTACAGCTTCCAGATGACTGGCTGTCCCATTAACATTAAAAAAAAACTGCAAAGGCCAGAAAACCACAAAGGATGAGGTGATAACAGAACTGTATCCTCCTCTGATTTTTAATAGTTAACCACAGAGTCATATACCCCAGCTTAGGGAAATAATCAATAAAGTCTTGGAACCAGGGGGACAAACAGCTGCCTCACTGCACCTAAGAATGTCTATAAAACTTGAAACACAGATCTATTCTTTTGACCAGCTCAGACTCTGCCAGCTTGATGTGCCAGCCGGTGTAACAATGACGCCATCTAGCAAAAGACAGCAAGGAAACAGCTGAGAAACTAGTGCGCCATAAAAATCTAGTTTCAATATTTTACTTTACAAACATCTACATGAATGAACTGTTATTATTTTTTTAATTAGAAAAAAGAAAACATCAATGGGGGTCATAATTTATCACGCATAACAGAAGTGTTGCAGATCTAAATGAGAAACTGCGGTAAAATGAAACCAGTATAACTGTTTTATAAGGTGTTATGGGTGCGCAACTGCAAAAAACACACCATTGTGCCCCAAAGATAAGTGGTTGCTAGGCAACATGACACCATTCACAAACACTCACACAGATTTTGTGTATTGTGGTAATATTAGCATTTTCTAATTTTCTACTAAAAAAAACTAGGAAAAGGAAGAAAAGAGTAGAAAAGAAAATATGAGCAAATGTAAAAGAAAAACAGAGTAAAGCGACCAAAAGGAAACAAAAACAGCAAAGCTGAGGTGGAGGAACGTAACAGGTCAAAGGAGACAAACGGAAAAAAGGAAAGAAAGGAAACATTATTAAGAAAAAAAAATTTAGGTTTGTATTAAGTTTTTAAAACATACTTGTGTCTCTTTATGTTAAATTACGTGAATACTTAATTCACGGGTTGAGATAATGGCATTAAAAATACTGGAGTGGTTAACCTATCTTTGCAGCCTTATTTACAGAGTCTACACAGACCTTTGTGGAATATGAAAGGAACAACCACAAACACAACGAAATGCCTCTCTGATCACACCCCCTCCCCCCACATTAAATCACTCTAACTGGCAGCAGCACTACTCCCCCTAGTGGTGACGGGGTGTACAAAGAAAAATCTCATCTCCCTCTTACAGGATGTTTGAATGTTCTTTTTTCGGGCTGCTTCTTTATGTTTACAGCTGTTTGTTTTTCACTTAAATATAACAATAAATGATAATAAATTAAAGTTCAAGGTCCCTGTGTGTATGTGTGCGTTTTACCTCTGGAGTTGTCTTGGTGAAAACATCTTGTCCCTCAATGATGTCTGTCATCACTCTGTCTTTAAGCTGCTGGTACTCCTCAGCAGTCAGCTGGATGGACTCCAGCTCAGACCCACAACTCCTACATACTCCCCTGAACACATGCACACACACATATATGTTTAAATGACACACACTATCATAATGGAGGTACGTACATACATCAGAAGTGGTTTTTATTACTTTGGGGTGGCGGTCGTCCAGCTGCCTGTCCATTCCTGTCCTGTCAGGCTGATTTTGGGAAGGAGCACAAGGAGAATATACACTAGAGTGATTATGTTCAACATGTTGAGGTTTGCCTTTAATACACGTCACATTGAAAATAAATGCAGGGGAGCAAAGCTTTAAAAAAAAAAAATCACATTTTAAGAAACAGGATTTGTTTTGCATGCATGTGCATCCCTATCACGGTCCTACCTCTCAAACCAGCTCTTGATGCTGCTGGCGAGGCTCTGCTGAGGGTAGATCTGGTTGTTCCTCATGTGCAGCAGAATTCCCAGGTGCCTCTCCTGCTGTTCAGCCTGTGACATGACACTCGTTCCCTCTTCTCCTTCCTCTTTCCCTGCCACTTTAAACAGAGTCTCCCATGTCTCCTGGTGAGGACTCAGTCCATTGTCAATTAGCTCATCATAAAGAGCCCAGGCAGTGCTTGTGTCACCGTGCTGCATTGCAGCTGCGATGACGTCGCCATAGTTGCGTGGTGATGGACTAAAAGTCTGTTAGTAAATAAAATCAGGTGATGATTATGGAGGAAAAGCGAGCTTCACCTGTGAGCTCGCTCACATTTGAAACAACCTGAAATATATAAAACTACCTCACTAATATCACGAAATCAACCATCGTCATCTGCAGATGATAAATGACAACCTTTGAATCAAGGTGCTTTACGTTCTAAGGTAAAGACCCTACAATAACACAAAGAAAACAGAAAATCACAAAAGTATAGAACCCCCCCCCCACGAGCAAGCTGGTTCAGGTTTGTTCAGGTTGAGAAAGTTTACGATTGAACATTTATAAGTTTATCAGAACTGAACAGAAGCATGGCTAATTGGTTTGTATAGACAAACAGGAAAAAAAGGAGTGAAAAAGTGTAAGAAATTAATTTTAAGCCTCAGAAAAACAACTTTTAGGTTAATATTTAGCTTAGCAAATGACAAACACACGTAATGAATTCTGGCCTAAACTAAAAGTGCATTTTTTCCCTCACTGAAATACTTTTCATTAGTTTAATTTTCTCCTAAAAAAAACTGCTTACTTTCTTGAGCTCCTGCAGGATGTTGAGAGCCTCCCTCCACCTCGCCGTCCGGCTGAAGGCTTTGATAAAAAGACTGGAAGCTCCTGTGTCCAGAGAGGGGAAACTTCCCCGCATGATGTCATAGACGTCAAACACCTCAGCGTCATGGCCGCTGCTCACACACAGCGTCAGGTATCGCAGTAGCAGCTCGTAGGACAGTGTGCCAGTCTCCGTGGCTACAAAAGTCAGCAGGGACCTGAAGAGGAGGATTTTAAATGAAAGTAACATGGAGCTTTTTCAGTCCTTTAATGCTCTCACCGCAGCATTCTGGATTAAATGAAGGATTTTCAGGAAGCTTTTAGAACAGCGACTGATCTAAAATGCCTTTAAGGTTCCTCACAGCTCCACTGGAAGTCATCCAGAGTCAGTATCTGTTTAATCACCGTAGAGCAAATTAAATCTTTCATTTAACTCTTACTTGGCAACATCCAGCTCGCCCCCAGAGGTGAAGAGAGCTTTCATCATTTGGATTTCAAAGCGAGGTGGATTTCCCTGAGACTCCTTCAGCTTCTTCCACTCATTGGAAGGGAGCGGTCGCTCAGGAGGCTGCAGCCTTCCTGTAAAACATCCAAATAGTCATCCAAACACATCATGAGCTGTTAAATATCTGAAGAGAGGTGGTGATGCATGCTCACCTGCTCCCCTATCTGACCTACGTTCAGGCTCCTCTTCATCCTTATACTCACAGACCAGAGGCGCCCTCCTCCTCAGTATATCCGCCGTCCTCTTTGCCGTTCCAGCAGCAAACACAGATTTATGGATCCTCTGCCGGGGAGCAGACCTCTTATCTCCTCCTCCATTCACTGTACCATCCTCTTCACCGCTTCTGATGGTGCTGTTTCTAACCCCACTCTGCCCTTTAGTTTGTCCACTGCTGCTTCTGTGTGTCCGTCTGACACCCAGGGTGAGGCTGGGCTCTCTGCTGCACACAGAGAGAACCCAGGGAGGCTGTAATGTGGAGAAAGCTGGACGTCCATGTTGGAAAAAGAGCTGCGAGGACTTTAGAGATGTTCTGACTTTCAGTATGAAGGTAGAGCCCATGTTTGGATGATTATAGCGAATGATTTATGAGCACAGCAGCTGTAATCCCACTTTAAATTTAAACTGTTTTATTTGTCATACACAAACTAAGCACACAGCTGACACATGACGTGAATTACATGAGCCTGCAGGTGACACCAGAAGCTCACCTTCCTGTTTCTACGCGTCCTTCAAAGGCTCTCTCACGCTCTCGTTTCGTCCATAAATCTGAATAACTACAAATACAGCGCCTGAGGAACTCACTCAGCTCATATCCCTCTACAAAACACACCCGCAAGAAGGCATGGATGGAGTCGCACACCTGACGTCATCAACATTAGACAACGTCGTTTGTGAGGTATCAGGTTTTTCAAAATAAAAAAGGAAATGTCATCACCCATTGATCATGAGAATAATTTTAGTTATATATTTTATAGTTATATATTTATTTAACTTTTACATTTATTTTATTTACATGTAGCTTTTGTATCATATTATGTCCAGATAATTTTCAAGAACATAGGCGATGTGCAGAGCTGGAGTAAATGCAGAGTGATAGAGTTAATAGTGATAATGAGCCATACTGTGGAGATATGAGATTAAATCGGGATAAGTATTGAGTCTCTCCTTGTTTGCGATGGCGATGAACGGGTTGAAGTCAGGCAGTAGTCGCTGTGTGGACTAACAGGGAGCAGGTTGAAGAGGTGGAAATTCATTTCTTTCTCGTTACTCTTTTATTTTGAAAAGCACTGACCGGAAAAAAGTTCCCTTTACAGCTATTAGCTAGATGTTGTTTGGGTAGCACGGCTATTTTTTTTACTACAAGTGGAGATTCGTTATTAAAATGAAGAAATCTCACTGTTAGCTTGTCTCCGGAGCAGAGATGGCTACCGAACAGCAGCCTAACTGGGCGGATATTCTTAAGAGGAGGTTAGCAAACTCCAAAAGAGGTAAAACAATGTAAACTGTGTTTAGCTGGCTAAGTTGAATGTACACTATCGATTTGTTATCAGTTAACTAATAAGAGTGTTCTTTTGCCGGATAGTTAATATTTAAGTTGGTTTTTATATTATGTTTTTCTCCGGCAAAGACGAGAAGAGCGAAGAGGAAAATAAATCAGAAGAAACGGAGCTTTTCTCCAAATATTACACCGAGTGGAAAGGAGGAAGCAACAGTGGCAGCTCCTACAAGACCATCCCACGGTTCTACTACAGGGTATCAAATCAGTTCAATACATATGAAATCTGTAAAAGTCAAACAAAAACCTTAGTTTTGGAACTATTTTCTTTCCAATGTCTACATACGCCATCCAGAAGCAAACGTTACAGTTCACACAGTTGTATTCAGACCTTTACATCCAGTCAATTTAATCATTTAATTAGTGGTAAGAGAGGAAAGTGTGATGCTAATTATTTAACTTGTGCGTAGTTGCTTGGACATGGCCACTAGATGTTGGGTTTTTTTCTGCAGCTGCCAGCAGAAGATGAAGTATTGCTTCAGAAATTAAGAGAGGAATCCAGAGCTGTCTTTCTCCAGAGGAAGAGCAGAGAGCTGCTTGATAATGAGGAACTGCAGGTAAAACGCACACAAATATATCATTGCTTCTTCTGCAGGTAAAGCAACACAAACTTTGTTTTTTCTTATGTTTCCTTTTATTTTCTGCAGAATTTGTGGTTTCTGCTCGATAAGCACCAGGTGCCTCCACTGACTGGAGAAGAGGCCATGATCAACTATGAAGCGTACCTGGAGGTGGGGGAAAAGGCTGGGAGCAAGTGCAAGTGAGTGATAACAAGTTCTCAACCCTAAAATTCATTTAAGTCTGTATTACACTGCTGGACTTATTCAGTCTAATTGTTAGATATTGATCACAGAGGATGTTAAATCAGTAAAAAGCATTTCCCTTAGGCTTGATCAACAGCATATCAAAACACCTATGGGAAATGTAGTTAGTAGTAGTAATAGTTAGTAGTCTATGCTCCCATCAAAGTTTAAGTCATGTGGGTCTAAGTGCACGCAGATTGTGCATGTATTATTAGGCAATTCTAGAGCTAATACATGTAAACAATCACTGACCCTCCAGGTATTTATCAGGCCCAAAACCCATGTAGGTGTCCCTCCAGGGTGTGCATCAGCCACTTTGGTCAATCTTGATAACCTTAACCCAATCACTGTTTCATTTAAATGTCTGCCCTATCAACTTTTGGTGCTACATTATATGTCTATCACGGTGTCCATGGGTAATTGGTCCTTAAGAAACAGCTACCTCATCTAACGAAGGCAGCAGGCATCCAAATTACTGAACTTGGGAAAATTTGTGATGAAAAATAAGAATACGGGACTCTTTCGAAGGAAGAGTGACCTTTAATGTGAGCGCGCTCAGAGCCTGAAGCAGAAAGATTGTGTTAAGCGAAAACAGATTTTGACGTGAAGCCATTAATATGTTTGAGTAAAGTTTTAATTGTTTTCTTTTCTTTCTTACTTTCAGAAAATTCTTCACAGCCAGAGTTTACGCCAAGCTGCTGCACAGTGACCCTTACGGGCGGATCTCCATCATGCAGTTCTTCAACTATGTCATGAGGAAAGGTTTGGACCTTTTTTCCTCTGCTTTGTTTCCACAGAGCCTCCTAAACAATATAAATTCTTTTCACCAACCACCTATCCAAGATGAGGATATAACCCAAAATGCAATCAAACATCCATAGTACTAATGCTTGTTTCTGTTACTCTGTGCCATAGAAAATAAACTGGTGCAAATTTGCTATTGAAACTATGCTTTAAGTTACTGAAAGGGAAAAAAAAAAAAAGATTTTAGGTTTAGATTGTTTCTTTTGTGTTTTTCACCACTGTAACTATCCTGTTGCAGGCTCAGAAATACTACAATAATATTGCAAATTAAAAAGTTTTCACTTACCCTTCTGTTTTCTGTTCCTTCTCATCTACATCCAGTGTGGCTGCATCAGACCCGGATAGGCCTGAGTCTGTATGATGTGGCTGGACAGGGGTACCTCAGAGAGTCGGTAAGTTCAGCTCAAGTGACTTTAAAACAAAACAAAATAGTTTTATCTCAAGTGAAAATATAAATGCAGCAAAATGGTAATTCTTCTGATTCTTTGTAGGATCTAGAAAATTACATCCTGGAGCTGATCCCCACTCTGCCTCAGCTGGACGGCTTGGAGAAGTCCTTCTACTCTTTCTACGTCTGCACCGCTGTCCGCAAGTTCTTCTTCTTCCTCGACCCACTCCGAACAGGTGAGAGTAAACCCCATAAGAACGTGGCATATTACCATGCAAGTCAAGTCAAGTGGCTTTAATGTCATTTAAGCCATGTGCAGTGGTACAGTACACAAGCAAAACAACATTCCTCCAAGACCATGGTGCTACATATGACATATAACAGACACTTGCATGAACCGGGACAAGTGCTGAAAGATTATAGAGCAAGACAGAGTTGGTTTGCTAAACCTGAAATAAGGAAAACTCTGGATTTAAGTCTGAGTAACTCTCTGAGCCTAACCTGCTTGCTTGGCAGGATTTCTTTCTGCCTCCTCCCCTCCAGCTGTATCTGCAGCAGCTGACTCATTTCCTCCATTTATGCATCAGTGATTAATGTCTTTTGTTTAACATTTATAATCAATCTGTCATCTGGAAATGAAAAGAAAATATTATTATCTCATCAGAATAAAATCTGTAGGCTGCTGTAACGCAGCCGTTAGGTTTGCAGTCAGTTTCCCTGCACTGAAACATTTGCCTTACATTACTGTAAAAAACAGTGTTTAAATAAAACTGCTCTGTGTGATGCTTTAGGTATGTAAAAGTCTGTGATCTGTCATTTGTCAGGGTGGGGTCACTGTCACAGTCACACTGAGAAGAAAATGCCTGTCACAGATGGAATTTTTATTTTATACCAGTCATCTTACAGCTCATTAATTATATAAGATCAGCTGAAGTTTAATCTCAGTTTAAAGTAAAAATTTGTTAATCCTGATTTCTGAAACCAGAGCCTGATGGTCACTGTAAGGACTAACTTATTGCAGCTTTGCAGTTATTACAATAATAATTACAATACGCAAGATATAAGGAAAAATAATCATTTTGATCTTTATATGGAGCTATTTGCCATGTTTCCTGTGTTTAGGTTGTGTTAGGAGTGTAGAAAAGCTTGATTTTGGTTATCACACATAATATTTGTGGCTTTTTTGTGGAGGTGTTGGTTTTTTGGTTTGGTGGGTTTTTTGTTGTTGTTTTGTTTTAAGTTATCTTACTTTTCTCCAGGAAAGATTAAAATCCAAGACATCCTGGCCTGCAGTTTTCTGGATGACTTATTGGAGGTATTTTTTATTTATTTATTTTTCCTTGCTTGACCACACACAGTCTGTTATAGGATGCCAATAACAATAGGATGTTCACATTGAACCCTAAGCAACTCTTCCTCTTATTGATGTCATCCTTTTTCTCCTTTCTCTGTCACCAGCTGAGAGACGAGGAGTTGTCTAAGGAGAGTCAGGACTCCAACTGGTTCTCGGCCCCGTCGGCTCTCCGAGTCTATGGTGAGATAACATCTGGACACATCTGCACAGCAGGATACCGGTGGTAATTGTATTCCTCTGTATTTAGAGGAATGTTGGTGAAAGGCCCAATTTTGGGTCAGTGAAGTTGGAGTGCTCTGTGTGGCATGTGTCTGTGTATCAGTGCCCTGTACTGTTGCTTACATCTGTGTTTTTAAATTGTGCAGGCCAGTACCTGAACCTGGATAAGGACCACAATGGCATGTTGAGCAAAGAGGAGCTTTCACGTTACGGCACGGCCACACTCACCTCTGTGTTTTTGGATAGAGTCTTTCAGGAGTGCCTTACCTACGAGGGTGAAATGGTACGGTCCATAACATTAACCGCTGGAGTATTGACTGCTGTGGCAGAGATGTTTTTGGTGGTGAGATCAGGTGACTGTGAGGACTTTCTCACACATCTTCAAGCAAACAGATTTAATCCTGAGCTGCTGACTGAGTGAACTCTGTGTGATCTCCTCAGGCAGCTAACACACATGCACGTCTAAAAGCAGTCGCTATAAATCTACTATACTGGCCACGGCTCCCATGTTTAAATGCCTAACTTTACATTAAAATAAGCATATTTACAGCCTCTATAGGTCTGTAAATACTTTACAGGGATGATTAACGCTTTAAAACTTTGTACCTCTTTTCCTCATTACCTCAGTTGTTATAGAGCTGAAGATTCACTGCATCAAATTGAAGCTGGGCTTATTCACATGCTGTTTTTATTCTTTGGCTCTCGTTACTGAACTGGACCTATTTTGTGCTGTGGTTCCTTTTTGAATCATTTTAAATGCACTGACGAATAATTTGCCTCACTGTGCAGTTTACTGTATTAACAGACTATCCAAGTATTTTATTAGTTTGTTATTTAGCACTAATCAGCAAATATCTAACCAGATTGGCTAAGCAGTAGCTCATAACTTCACTCCACCCTCTTGTCCAAATATGGCTCCAAAAACCAATGTGTTACTTCCCAAAACATCATTCCTGTGGTTTAAATATTTCAATATTTGTCTGACTTGAATGTTTCTCCTTCTCTTTTCCAGGACTATAAGACCTATTTAGACTTTGTTTTGGCTCTGGAGAACAGGAAGGAGCCAGCAGCTTTACAGTACATCTTTAAACTTTTGGACATGGAGAATCAAGGACACCTCAACGTCTTCTCCCTCAACTACTTCTTTAGGGTATCGGCTGCACACTCTTCCGTGAAACAAAATCAAAAGGATTGATTCAGCAGTTTGTTTTTTCATTCAGTCTTTCTTGATCATTTTTCAGCAGTTTTTTTTTTTTTTTTTCTCTTCAGGCCATTCAGGAACAGATCAAGCTGCACGGACAGGAGCCGGTCTCCTTTCAGGATGTAAAGGTACATACAGACAAACAGCACCTTATGTGGCCGTAATGGCCGTGGGCGATATTTTTGAACATTTAATTCTCTCTTTAGGATGAGATCTTTGACATGGTGAAGCCTAAAGACCCCTTCAAGATCACACTGCAGGACCTGGTGAACAGCTGTCAGGGCGACACAGTGGTCAGCATCCTGATTGACCTCAACGGTTTCTGGACCTATGAGAACAGAGAAGTGCTGGTCGCCAACGACAGTGACAGCGGCGGGGTTGGCGGGAGCAGCATGGCTGACTTTGACGATACATGAAGATGTTTCGGGGTTGAAACGTAAAGAGAATTTGATGTTTTACTCCCAAAAAATGGCAGGACATTGACCCTTCTCACCCGCACACATGTGAAGGCCTCGAAGGCTGGAAGACTCTGAAGGAAAAAGGAGGAATGTGCAAATGCTGATCTTTGTGTAAATACTGATCTTTTCTCCTACCTGTGAAATCTAGGTGGGTTTACTACGAAGGTAATTCAATATAGCTTTCTTCATCTGGTCCTGTGAGGAAGCTGCTGCTTCTTCTTCCTCACAAAATTTAAAATGTTCAAATGGGAATAAAATTGAATAGGAGTAAATTTAAAAAATCAAAAGGAAATATTATAAAATGGTAAATAAGCACAGCTTTACTAACACCTGGTAATAATTTGTTCTCTTTAATTGACAGTTAATTTACATCGAGTAGCTTGTTTACATTTAATTTTGGCATCCTCCGTTAAAAAGACCTGCTGGCTCATTAAATTAGCTTCGTAGTAACTCCCTCTGATTTACATGTGGGCTCTTTTTTTGTTTTTACTGGATTTCCTTTGTACGTTTTGTGAAAAATGCTCCTTTAAATTTCTACTTTAAATTATGATTTTCTTTAGAACTAATGTTTTTGTAAATTTTTGTAAAATTAAACATTAAATGATAAATGGACCCCTTTTCCCTTCAGAACTGCCGTAATTCTCTGTGGTGTAGATTCAACAAGATGCTGGAAACATTCCATGCTGACATGACAGCATCACACAGTTGCTGCATATTTGTCGTGATGTTAACCATGAATTAATCACAATTTCTTTTTTTCAAAGCTGAGTTCAATGTTATTCGTCACACCCAGGCCTGATTACAAATTACCTGTTAGTTTGACAAATATAACCTGTCTGACAAAATGAAGTATGGCTTTAGAGAAAATATTCTGTGGCCGGCCGAGACAAAAGAACTTTTACAGTCCTGTTACATCTGGTTTGCTGTAATTGATGAAACAAGAAAATCTTGAATGCTCAGCCATCAGTTCATGCTCTGAAGCTCAAGCACACAGATTATGTGGCATGACAGTGATCTGAAACAGACCAGCAAGCCCACCTCTGACTGACTCAAAAACCCAAAATAAGAAATATGGAGTGACCCAATCATAATCTGGGTTTAAATAAGAATGAGATTACTAGAGATTACCTTAAACAGGCTGTTTAAAAACCTTCCAATGTGTCTGAAATGCCAGTTACACGAACACTTGATTGCAGTTCTTGCCAAGAGTGGCAGAACTAGTGATCAGGTTTAGGTGACAATTACTTTTTCACACAGGCACAGGGATAGTTTTTCACAGCACTGTCTATAAAAGAAGAAATAAGTCACACTGTACAATTTTCAAAACAAAACAAAACACCCTTTTGATTATTTAAAGCTTTTATTTACACACAGAATATAGAAATATAAAGATTCATTAAAAGCTTCACTTTAAATCAGAAAATATTTTGCATATGTTACCCTGCTTTACATAGTGAAAAAACATCCTTTATACTTAGTGAAAGACATTTAACTGCAAAGTGTACACATCTTTTGCTATGATACGCTGGCATTTCATTGGAGTCTGCTTGTGGACCGATTCTGACTATAAGCGCTGCTACTCTGCAAGCTGAGATCTGAAGCCTGCCATCACACGTCACAGCCAAAGAGAAGATTAAAACAATTTCTAAGAGGCTTAGACTGGCACAAGCAAGGACATTCAAAGATTGAAGTATACACGAGCCACTGTTCACACCAGCGTAGAGCATCAGTTAGCGCTAGAGTCAGATTTAACTGTCGGAAGGTTTTAGATTTTATGTAAAGAGGCTGTAAATAACATCAAAATAGAAACGCAGCTGATTACTGTGACATCTCAAGAAAGGGAAGCAGCTGACTTCATCTTTAAGCAGCACAGAAATAATGAATGAAACATTAGGGCATGTGGAAATGTAACACGCAAACAAGCTGTTCAGAAATTAATAAATGTGCATCAGGTCAATAAATAACTAAACATCACAGTTATGGAGGCCAGAGGTGAAACATTGTGGATGATGGAGCGCTTAAATATATTAAAACACTTGTAAGTAGTAAAGATTTTTGGATGAAAGAAATTGGTTAGGTCCATGCAGGAGATTTGGACGATTTGTTCATAGCTGGGACCTGATTCTTTTTTAATTTAGCTTTTAGGCATTTAAATCTTTGTTGTCTTTAGCACACACCTCCAAGCCTGTGGTGCATGAGTTTCATTAACAATGTGACAGCAATGAGTAAAGAAAAGATGCAAGGAAGTAATTGGCAGGATCCAAAATGAGGCATTGTTAGACAGATGAGAAGAAGAAAATATATCTGTTTTACTCTAAGACATTGAAAATTCCACTTTTAAAAAACGTTTTTGCCCATGATGACCTGATTTGGGTTTTTCCATTTGGGTCCATAATCTGTCTGGCTGCCGTTAGGGGCAGGGATAGCTCAGTAGGTAGAGTGGTGGCCCCATGATCGGAAGGTCGGGGGTTCGACTCCACTGAACGGCTACCCTGAGGTACCCCTGAGCAAGGTACACACTGCTCCCCGGGCGCTGCACTGGTGGCTGCCCACTGCTTCACTGAGTGAATGGGTTAAATGCAGAGGAACTATTTCCCTATGGGGACTAACACGCACACTTTACACGTGTTTTTTTGTTTTTTTTACACTTTATATGTGAACAGCGCAGGTGCCTCCTTAAAGGGCCAGTTTACCCCCAAATCATTTGGATTACTCCTCTGATCTGTCTGGCTTTTTATAAATTGCTGTTTAAGACTGTAGAAATGTCTTCCTTCTCTTTTATATAAAGAACTAAAACGACGCTCCTCTCATGATGATCAAATCACAAAAACATTAAAAAACCCAGGATGAAATGCAAGCTGTTTCATTTAGGAACTCTTTTTCTTTGTACTTTCTACATTCGCCAGTGAAAATAACAGTGCAGCTGAGCTCAGCCAGCTTGGTACTGCTCAGCTGAGAGCATTTACATTTCACGCTATCTTGAGCCTCTGGTGACGGGTAACTGGAGAGTTATGGTTGGCGGTTCGGCAGTAACGTCAGAGAGGCAGAAATCTTTGCATCAGATACCTCGAAAATTGGGCATCTCACACCAAAACAACACAGGTGTGTAAACAGAGCTATGTGCACAAATTTGACGTTTTTTATTTTTACACCGAGCATCTTTTATGAATCAAAACACCGCGGCAGGAAAGATCAAGTATGAATGAGGTAAGCATGCAAAGGTGAAGGGTCACGATTCACTCATAAACATCTAAGAGACTGATTAACAGACTATATAACATGTACTGAAACGCTTTAGTCTTCATTTTGTAACTACTTCTAACCTTGAAAACCCAAAATATTAATACACAGTCCTATAAGAATATATAAGTTAATATACAAGGTCTATCGGTTTGTCTTCTATAAACATGTTAAGGCTTTTTCTGAAGCCTGTCCAGAGATGACAGTGCAGCAAAGACAGGCTGAACTGGATAAGAGTGCAAAACTACTCAATCTCTTCATTGGCATATCAGTGAGGCAACAACTATAACATAACGTGTTTCTGTTTAGCAGAGGGGGTAGGACCAACTCTCTCTCTTATTTTTGTTCAGTTCTGGATGGATTTTCACACCAGTCTGTAATTAATAATTGACTGTTGCCTTGAGGATCTACTTCATCATTTTAAAGTGAGCTGAACCTAGACCCTGTTTAACAGCCTAAGTACATATATCAGTCCCTGCCATACACAGATATACATTCACAAGTCAGGCTAGTGCAGCCATCTCCAGCCCTTTTTATGTTTCCCTGCACTCCAAGATCTTCCTTTATAAAATAAAAAAAAATGTAAAAAAAATAACAAAACTATTAGTTTACATAGCTGGGTAGATTAACGGGTTGTCAGCTAACAGAAGTGTGTGTGTGTTTTGGAGGTTTCTGTTTGCCACCGTCACTCTTCAGGAGGGGAGAGGAGACGGGACTCTGTTGGGGTCTTGGTTGCTGAGAGGAGGCTCAGGTTCGAGCTCGAAGCTGATGTTAACAAAGGAGGCCGGAGACACCTCAGGCTGCTCCACCGTAGCCAGACGAGGAGCTGTGGGATCGCCCCGCTTGCCTCTCTGTTGCTCCCCAAACCGATGCTCCGCCTCCTCTGCCAGACGATTCTCCTCCTCCTCTTCCTCCTCCTGCAGGAAAGCAACAGTGAGCCAGATTAATGTTAATGTTTTTGCTCCTCCGTTTGAGTAAGCAGCTTTTAAGCTGTGACATGGTGTTGTACCTCTTTCTTTATACGGTAGTACTCATCTATGGCATACTGGTACTTAGGTGTAGTGATGCCAAAGAGAGAGGCCAGTTTCTCTCCCATGTAGTCACATACTGCAAAAAAACAAAACAAAACCAAAAAACCCACAAATTAGAGACATCTTCTAAACACTTAAAAAAATGTTTAAAATAAAATAATTATAAAACAATTTGTGAAATATGCATTTCATTTCAGGTTTTCTAAAGTATTTATAACATTTCCTGATATTTCCACTTCAAAAAGCTATTTTTAAAACTCCCTGAAAGGCTCTAAAGAGCCTTAATGTAGCGATGACACCAGGCAAACCTTCTAGCTTCCATTTTCTACTTTTATTTAAATTTCTCTGGTATTAGAATGTATTTTCAACCTGCAACGGCTGGTGTTTTATGAGTAATTTTACAATGTAGTTTTACCTGATACAGTGGAGGTGGCCATCCTCCACATTTGGAACCAGAAGTAAGGACCCCAGGTCAGTTTGGACTAAAACGGGCAAGTGGACATGAGATATGATTAAAAAATAAATAAATCTCAAGAAGCATGTTGAAACATTTTAAAACTGCACGTATTATGTGTATCAGTGTTTCAGGAGCATCTTTTTTTTCTTGGACTATATTAGTATTCACAAGTCATAACAATCTGTACAGTATCTCATACTGGGCCTTCCAACTGAGTTCATCCTCTGACTGGAACAAACAATATTAGCTGAATTTCCCTTCAATATAAGCTCAACTTTCTTCCTCTTTTATATTTGGAAACACAAAGAAGTATAAAGAAACACTGCAGTTCCAAATGACTGAAACATGATATAGTTGCTCAGTTTTGTATCTTAACCTGCTGGTCTACTGTGTTCACCAGGAAGCTGTACACGTCAGCTGTGGGACTTAAAAACTCAAACTACGGGCTCAAAAATCCTTGAAAAACCTAATTGATTGTTGTTATTCGACTCTTGCTGTGCCAATAGCATACCGGATCTACAGAAATAACTTCTTTCTTTGCAGTCTGCTCCTCTTCCTCCTCTTCATCAGTGCTGTACTCCTCCATGGTCTCTCCATTGGCAAAGTAAATGGTTCTGCGAGGAACCTTCACCTTCCTTGGCGTTCCCACGGGGTCCCCCATCTCCACAGTATCAAATTCTGCTTCCCCTCCTGTACTCTGGTGATAATTTGAAACTGTATTACTAATGATATTTTTAATAAAACACATATATAAGTCAATAAAGAATTGATAGAAGAATTTACTGAAGTAAAAGCTTTTATTAGAGTAGAAAATGCTCAATTTCAGGCCTAATGTAAAAAACAGGTAGCAGATCAGTTCATGAAGTAGGATTGAGGCCTGGAATTTGATTTAAAAGTAATTTATATAATTTTAAAATGTATTTTATATCCAACAGGTAGCCAGTGAAGGATGATAGTGATGTGACCATTTTGCTGCTAGTGGTACTGGTACATTTGGACTACCTCCAAATTCTTCAACTTGACCTCAAATCAACAGTTGAAATGTGGACAAAGATGGAGAATGACACCCAAACCACATATAAACTGGGTTCGGAATGGGAATAGCCCTCCCAAAGCTCTGACCTAAACTCCTTGAAACTTTGGGAACAATGTTTAAAAGCCAGGTCTGTGCCAAGAAACCAACCAAATTACTCTACTAATTTTTCCAAGATGAGTGGTCAAATATCCAACAAATTATGCAAGAAGCTTGTTTATGACTAACAAAAGCATCTGGTCAAGGTGCAACTTACTAAGGGACATTTAACCAAACATTAGTGGGGATGTCATGATGCATGCTCAATCATCCAGGTAAGGAAATCCCAAAAAGCTGATTCTGTGATTCTGAGACTGAAGAAGTCACTTGGATGAGTATCGAAAACGATACATCCAGATGAACAGAATCACATTTTTGGGATTAGTGGGGATGTATGTAAAAATATTGACAACAATATCAGTATCTTCTTTTCCTAAAATCCAGCACTCATCGGGCTTTAAATTACTGTTTATATAAAACCCTTACAGGTACAAAAATAAAAGTGGTCTAATGTGTTTTTCTAAGAGCTGACTGCACACAAAATACAACTCGCGACATCAAAGTACTGGTTAGAGAGTTTAAGTGACTTCAGTTGCTTTGTTTTTGTTGCCCGTTAGCTTCGTTGCTAAGGAAGTAGTTAACTATTAATACTACAAATCTTTATATGAGCTGTCACATAAAGAGAAAATAGTAAACATTTTATTAGCATCAACTAACCTTTTCAGTTTCCATAGTTTGTCCCAATGTAACATTGACATTCGCCAAATACAACGACAAATCTGCCATTACACCTACTTACACCTCACCGTGTTTCTGAGGGCTACTTCCTATTATCGTCAGGAAAAACAAATTTCCTTTCTGATTGCTTCATAATAAATGTTTTACAACATTAAAGGTACATTTTAATTGTTCTTCTGCGTGATCAAATGGCACCGACAGTACTCAAAGAGCCAAAATAACAGCTAAGTTTAATCAACCAGTGTTTTATTTCATTGTTATAGTCATAAAACAATTAGTGTGTCTTATTTTGAAAGTGGGGACCGGATGCTGGGGTTCACCCAGCGTTAGCTTGCTCCTCCGGTGGTGTTTTGGTCCAGTTGGCGCTGCTCCTCACTCGCCAAGATGACAGCGAGGAAGTCTGGTTCACGACTGGAGATAGAGATAGAGCGATGCCGCTCGGAGGCCCAGTGGGACAAGATTCCAGAGTTGGTGCGACAGCTCTCGGCTAAGCTGATATCAAACGGTAGGAAGTGTGCCGGGTTTCTCCGCTGTTCGTTCATCCAGTGTATGGGGCCTCCTCCCTGGCCTCAGTCCTCGCTACTTCCTGGCAGAGGCAGCCGATGCTGGGAGTTGTCGCCTCTGCTTAGAGCCAGTTACCTCGTAAAGACTTAAGAAAGATGTGACAGGTCTTTGTTCAACTTTAGGAAGGTTTGAGTTTAAAGATGTGAACAGTTTTCGCTGCTGTGATTGAGTTCCTGTGTTCTGACAGCTCAGTTTCCTGTCACGCAGAACTTCATTCAGAAATGTATCCATTTAACGTTGGATGTGTTTGACTAGTGTGGAGGATCAATAACTTTTATGAATTGTACTTCAAGAAACATCGCTAGAGTAAAACGACAGATTTATCTCACATTTTTTATTTATCTATTTATCTTTTCAGCTCACTGTCCCCTTGCCACCAGTTAAACCGACTTGGGGCGCTATCGGGGTACTTACTCGATACTTTAATAAATTAATATGACCTCTGCCAATTTTTATTTGTGCCGAATTTTCCAGAAGGTTATAGTTCTAAGTTGTACCCCTTAACATTTATTTAATGACGGCCATGCGTTTGCTGAAACCACTAGATATTTAAATGTGGTAGTTTTTCAAATTCTCTCTGGTTGGCTAAGATAGCTACAATACGTGCTAGCTGTCAAACCGCTTTCTCAGGGTATCAGTAAACGACAGTGTGATATTTTAGTTTAAAAGATAAAACCAGTTAAGCAAGGCTGATGTGTTACTCACGACAGACTTTTTTTTTTTTTAATTCTTATTTTTATTTTTTTGGTTATTATAAAAGTTACATGCAAGAAGGACTTTCTCACTTTTCTTAATGACATTTGAATGAAATGAAAATAAGATGAGAGATGTAAACTACTTTAACAGAACTATAGTCAAACTCATTTATATGCCAACCTTTGTCATGCAATTTAAATGTGCTTAGCTTTTATGTTTAAACATCATTATTGTTACACAAGGAAACGTTGGTTTATTTTTTTTTAAACTTGTATCATTGCATCTGTAAAGGATATGAAACTGGAAATGAGAGAGATTTATTGTGAGATTTGAAAGAAGCAGACAATAAAGCAGGAGCTCTGTAAAAACACCTTAACTAAAAAAAATTAAAACTGTTGTTTCAATTAAAAACAACTAAAATATAGTAGTGAAGAGTAAGTATAACTGTAAAAACAAATACAACTGTAAACAGAATCCCAGTAAACCTGTATCTTCTGCCTGATGGGAGAAGACTGAACTGGTGATTTGCAGATTAGGCAAATCACACTATACCACTAGACCTGGTGGTATAGTGTGAAGCTGTGGAAAATAGACTGCATCCAATGATCTTGAGAGCTATATGTACTGCTTTTTCAAGCTGTTGTTTGTCCTGATTGGGTGTGCTTAGCTGTCTTGGTGGGCTTTACTAACAATGACAGTGGTGTTCGTGTCCCTTGATAACTATTGATGTATAGTGCTGCCCAGGAAGCGGAAGGACGAGACCCTCTCCAACAACATGGCCAGTGGTGGAAAAGGAGAGATGTTGAACTATTTCCCTTTTAGAGTCAACAGTAAGCTCTTTAGTTTGAGATGTGTCGAAGGTCCAACTGTTGTCTTTTCACCACCTCATCAGCTGCTGTTCCTCACTCCAGTATGCAGATTCCCTTCCTGTCACAGATAAGACTTATTGCAGTGATATCATCAGTGAAGTTAAAAGAAGTGGAGGCATTTTCCTGTAATTATTTTGGCCACTTAGTAAACAAAATAAAAAAAAGCTTTGTTAAATTCAATTTCACGTATATGAAAAGCCATAATTGGCCTTTGTTTAAGCTACAACCCCTTTAGTGAGCACCAGATTGTTTTTGTATAACAGAGCATAAAAGTCTGTTCGTGATGACCTGAAGCCTCAGGATGTTTCTTAAGTACCTAGTAAATTCAAGACCTAAATTCAAGTCCACTGTAGACTAGATGTGGATTTGGGGAATCACCACTGATAGTATACAAAAGAAGGAAGTAGCAACTATCACTTTATACACAGGTTTGGTCTCCACATTTTTGCATTTTTATCCAGCACCTTTTTTGTTTGTTTTGGAGTCATTAGTGAAGATATTCAGATCAGAGCCCGGAGTGCATAATTCTGTCTGGTATGTGTGCAAACAAAGCAGTGTTTCTCCGTGTGCAGATTTGCCATTCTCACTGTAACCCTGAGTAGTTTCTGAATAACCATTAAGCCTCAGTTCATGCATCATAATTTACACTCGGGGTGTTTTGAGCCCCTGTTACTTCCATATTTTCTTCTGTGTTACTTCTTTGCATACTTTTATGGCATTAAATTAAGTCCATGTTGCTTGGCAGATATTTTGCGTGAGCGTACACAGGTTACAGGGTTTGCCATTGTTGGCATGTGGTTGTAGCGACAGCTTGGCTATAGGAAGCTTAGATCAAAGGATAAAGTAGATGAAGGCACTGCATGTACTGCGTTGATGTTAATGCCTCATTGACAAACTCAGGTGGTTGAGAGAGAACTTTAACCAGGTGTTCACCCTGCATTAGGCCTTAAAGTCATAAGGCAAATAATGAATGAAAATGGCACACCTTTACAGGTGAGTATCCAAGGAGAACATGCAAACTGCACACCAAGCAACCAGAAATAGGCAGGTTAGGGAGAAACCTAGTGTAAGACAAATAAGGATTTTTTTGAACTGGGTCTCATGCTCATGAGCATAATAGATCAACTGTAAGCTCTCAAAGTGTTGGAGATATGCTGGATGAGGACAAGAGGATGTGATGTCATGGTTGCTCTGACCTCCTGATTGTTCCAGATGACCTGGGCGAGCTGCTGTTGGGTGAATGTAAGCTGCAGATGTACCTGAAGGAGAATCCCATCAAGCAAGGTACAAGTCCCAGGGTCCAACGGCCAAAACTGCTGGAGGTCAGGAAGCATCTCACTGCTGCTCTGGACAGAGGAAACCTGAAGGTAACCACTGGGCTGAAAATCAAAACTCCGAACATAGAGACATCCTTTATTATTTATTTATTTATTCATTTATTCCTCTCTTCTAGCCGGATTACATCCAGGAAGCTAGCCTGTTAATGGCCAAACTGTGCTATGTGGAGGGAGAATACAAAGATGCTTTAGGTGACACACATTTCTCATATTTGATATTTTTTCCCCCTCATTTTAGTGAATAAGTAGGTCAGTTTATTAATACATAATTCGTGATTTGACAGGGCACTACAGCAAGGTGAACCTGGACGACATGCAGCTGGCTGGAGCTCCTGTGTACAGGCTGTCTATGATAGCAGAGTCTTATGCGACTAAAGGTATACACAGTCCTTGTTTGTGTCCTCCTTAACCTCACTTAAACTGTCATCAAGCTAATCAGCACTAATCTCTGCAGCACCTCTTCTCTCCACACGGTGGCAGTGCAGTGCCACAGATGTAAAAAGAAGCCACAGACTGCACTGTTTGTCTTTGAATGTGTTTAACTGATTTCATCTGGGAAAACATTCATCAGTGACAGTAGGTGATGGTGTCAAATAGGGCAAAATGTCTCCCAGTCACACCATGTTTCTTCTTCTCTCTTTCTTCCTCAGGTTTGTGCCTAGAGAAAGTCCCAGCTGCTTCACCGTCTCTATCCAATAAGAACGCCGGGTCTCCGGCGTCCAACAGGAGCATGACCGAGCGGGAGCAGGAGATCATCACCTGCTACGAAAAGTCTGGAGACATTGCTTTGCTCTATCTGCAGGAGGCCGAGAAGGTGTGTTGTCAGACTGTGATGGCTTCACAGAGTGCAGCGTTTTCTCTACGTGTTGTTGTTTTTCACTGTCCTTATGGGCGTGTGATGAACATCCTGCTGACTGCGTTCGAGTTTGACTGATGCGCCACCGCCCTCGACGGCCAACTGGCAAACAAATCTCTTCGTCTTTATTTGCCGAGAGCACAGGCTGAGCAAACTGCAGTAAAACTGAGAAGGATGCAGCTCAAATATTCCAGCCTGGATGTAGTGATACTTGTGAGAAATTCAACAAAACGTGTGCAATATTACAGGTGCTAGTTAAGGAATACTTTAACGATGTCATGATAATGTATTTAAGACATAGATGGGAAAACCTTCTGTTTATTTTAAAGCAGAAAAGCAGCTTATCAAATGCTGAAATTGGAGATATTTGATTGTTTGTTGAGACTCTAATACCAGAAACTTGCATAGCTTATCTTTTAACATCTTTCTTATTAGTGTTTTAGAGTTGAGGGGCTGTGCAGCATGGAAATATACTTTTTTCTTTAAACAACAACACTGGGAACAGTGGGTACATTCATCAAATCACAGAGATGAAACTCTTAAGGGAATGAACTAAAGGAACATTTTTTTTCCCTCCAAAATAATCTCTTTATCTCTCCTGGTGTGCAGTCCTCTTATAATGCACTCCCTGATCCTTAAAGTATTTTACTGTATTCTAGTTTATATTCAAAAGTATGCAAAGCAGCTTTCAGACTAATTTCCTCCACCTTTTGTGTATATATGTATATATAATATATAGTTATAAGAGATTTTTTGTTTTTAATTATTGTTTTCCAAAACTACCTTATCTCTGTCTTTTGTTGTCTGGTGGTTTGCACGTCTTTAAACATTTTAAAAACTCCGAAATAAAAAGAGAGTTAATAATCAAAAAGGAGAGAGAGCAAATGCTGCAGTACCAGGTTTGACTGTTCACTTGCTTATTTGATCGTTTTCAAAAGGAGAAAAGCACAATGTCAATAGTCTTTCAGGAGTGGTCCGGTATTTTTAACACCGTTACGTTTCCTTAAACGTGGACTCCTCTGACCCTGAAAGTTAAATGTTAAAATTTAACTGCTCCTCAAGAAGTTGTTTCAGGCTTGTTTAATTACATCCAAAAAGACCGTAAAAGGAAGTATTTAGTAACCAGATTTAGTTTTTCGATATAGCCTGATATCAGATTCTTTGTCATATATTGTGTCTTTGTGACACACAATATATTTCCGGCAGGTGTCAATTTTTGGACTGCCAATGAGCCAGTTTAGCACCTGAAGTCATTTACTAAAAACAGACATTATAAGTGAGAGACATGGAACTTGAATAATCCTGAATTGAAATTTGTGGAAGAATTCTGCAACGGGAACGATGGTTGTGGAAGTTTAATATTCACTGAGGGACAAAATCAAATCAAATAAAGCGGAGGTTGAAAAATCAAAGTAAAAATCAATAGAAGTAAACAGTTAAAAGTCATGCAGTGATTTCCACTGCAGAATCGTGTCTGTTTTTTAAATGCAGAGCCGCCTGAGATTAAAATAAGTCTTATTGATTCAGGTTAGGAGGGGTTGAGTAAACTTCTCGTTCTTTTTGTTGTTTGTTGTTGCATAGGCGTTGTCAGCAGGGATTCAGAACCGCAGTCCAAAGCCTGGCCCGACAGCTCAGGACCAGGAGCTGGGCTACTTCCTAGAGACGGGCCTTCAGAGAGCCCATGTCATCCACTTCAAGAATGGGTAAGGGGGGTGGGGAACACATGGTGGTGAACCTGAGAGATCAGACAGGAAAGTTTTTACCTCTCTGGCTCTCGCTGATGTTTTTTTTTGTTCTTTTTCTTTTTTCTTTTTCTTAAACCTTAGCAGCCCTCTGTGGGCATTCTTCACTCATTCAGCAGTTGTGGTGTTACAGAGCTGCTGACAGGTGGAATAAAAGCAAAAAAAAAAAGTGTGAACATGGTTAAGTAACGTTCGCGGTTGAGCTCAGAGCAGTTCACACAGCGGTGTTGCGCTAAATGCTGCTGGTGGTTTCAGTGTTGCAGCAGCTGCTGGACGCCTCATGATAGTCTCTGTCCTACAGGGTTTCTGTTTTTTGTTTTTTTGTTTTCTTTCTTTTTACTTATTGCTAAATGATTGTTTTTGCTGTGAAGCAAACCAAAAATATGTAGACAGTATACATACTCTGTTTTTGTAAATATTAAAGTCTGGCCTCAGGTACAAATATGACATCACGCAGCAACTTGTCATAGTTTCTAGGAATAACATGGTTTCATTTGAAGCTTCTAGCATAAAAAAAATGCCTCACACAGCACTAAATGTCCATAAAAAATATATTGTGTGTGTATATATTGGAATGTGACTTTAAATAAGGCCTGTTACTCTTTAACTTTCCTGTCATGTGTATGGCCAAAGGTTTTAAAAAATTAGGTCATCCTGTGTAGAGAGTTTCTTCTGCTTTTGGCTTTGCATGATGTAAATGTGGGATGATATGGTTTGGATGGTTAAAGATTTCCAGTATGGAAATCTCAGTCACATGACGTTGCCTGTGAGCAGAAAGCCCACCTGCTGGTGGCAGCAGTAGCAGCCAGTCAGAGGAATGTTAAAAGGTTGGTGGAGCTGAAACAGTTTAATTCAAACTTGGAGTCCCCACAATATAAAAACAGAATTATTTTAAACTGATAGTCATGCAAAGATATTCAGAGAGTCCAAGTATAAAAACATGGAGCTGGAAATTGGTGTCTGAAATTAGTGAGTTTATATTTGCACCATTTTCAAATTGTTTAAAAAAAAAAAAATAGTAAATGATGTGAAACAGTATGGTCTCCTAAACAGTTGTGTTCTGGTGCATGCATAGGCTTGCTTTTACAAAATGTAATCAGAATAAACTAAGTAAGTGGAACCTAATTCAACACCTTTATCTAACGGTTTCTGTTTGTTTCCGAGGGGAAGCCAATGAAACTGAGCTAAATCAACTTGTTTCAGACAGAAGATAAACAGAAAAATTGGGATTATTTTGAACTCTGAATCATGCAAAGCTACTCAAGTGATCAAAGAAAACCAATACACACAAAATTAGACGAGTATGTGCACTGGACTCAGTGTCGTTCAGCAGCTGGTAATATTTTTTTTGTCTTTCCTGTTTCCTGTCTCCATCATTGCAGCAACCTGACACAAGGTGTGGGCAGGTTTCGAGAGATTCTTCGGGCTATTGAGACCAGAACCACCCAGAACCTACGAATGGTGAGGAACAGTTTATTAACACTTAAGGGAACAGCTTGGAATTTTTGGGGAACATAATTGTTTGCTTCATAGGTACTTTAAGGTACTAGAAGTAAGATTTTGTTCTTGTTTTTTTTTAAGACTGTCTGTTCAAACTGCTGCATCTTCACAGTACAGAACAAACTGTTGTTGCACATTTAAGCTGACAGAAGTCAAACTGAAAACATTTTGTGCACCAGAACTTCAGTTTTCATGAGCGTGCTATCATTTCACCTACACTGACACATGAAATGATGACTCTGAGAATGTTTGAAGCAAAGTTAGAGTTATGCCTCAGCGAGTGGTAGACAGAAGGAGAGAGAACTTACACTGCACGGCACTGCTGTCCACAGATTTTTTTGATTTGTACTTCAAAAGGAAAACGGTTTCTAAATCTGACCTCTAACAACAATAGTGAGGTTAACTAATGGTCACTGACACCAAAATTCAAATGATTTATATCTACACATCCCCAAAGTTGAAAGTCAAACACTTGCCCAACAAACAAATGACAGAGCCCAACGCAGAGGCTTTACCCATTTTCTGTCTGTGGCAGCCGACTTTAACTTCTTCTCATCTTAGCAACAAGTAATATGTTTAAAAATTTCCCAAATTGTCAAATTACTCCTTTAAACACGTCACTTCTTCCACAAATTGCACCACAACTGTATCGTCTGTCTGTCTCTGTCTGTTGGGAAGAATCCCAGGACAGGCTGTTAGATCCAATAGTTGTAAATTTTTATAAGGATGTACGTTAATGACGAAAGGGTCCAGATTAAAGCCTGTGCTGTGCTATAAGTTAATATACAAGTGTTGTGTTCGTACAGACCATAGCCAGACAGCTTGCAGAGATCTTGCTCAGAGGAATGTGCGAACAGAGTTACTGGTCTCCTCTTGAAGACCCACCCGTTGTGTCGCCCCTGGACGATCCGACACGCCAAGGACACACTCATAGCAAGAGCTACAGCCTAAGCCGACGCCCACGAGTGTACTCGGGAGAGAAGTAAGAAGCAAAGCACTCGGCGTGGATACCAGATTAAATCTGCTGCCAGTGTACTTTTCCACCAATTTGTTCTCATCACTTTTCTCTCCATTTTTTCCCTCCCTTTTTTTTTTTTTCTCTCCCTCTCATCCTCGTCCAACTCCATCGGCCTCCCGCTGCGTTCCTCTCCTCGCAGTCTGTTTTGCCCTCAAGAGAACACAGAAGAAGCATTGCTGCTGCTGCTCATCAGTGAATCCATGGTGAGGCACAAACTCTCTGCAGAGTAAACCATGCCAGAACACTGAGCTGGTTTTTCCGTATTCACACCTATGCATACGTGGGCATTTGTGTGTTTCAGGCCAACCGTGATGCCGTCCTAAGCAGAATTCCTGAACACAACAACGATCGGATCATCAGTCTGCAGTCGGCCTCGGTGGTGTATGACCTGCTGACCATAGCTTTGGGCAGGAGAGGGCAGTATGAGATGTTGTCAGAGGTGAATGACCCTTCTGTGGACCGCAGTCACAGTGACTGTGGGGATAGTATTTTCATTGCTTTTTTTCCTCCACAAACGTTGGTGCCCAGAGACATCCCGATAAAACAGAAAAATGTACCTTCTTTCAGTGTTTGGAGAGAGCCATGAAGTTCGCCTTTGAGGAGTTCCACTTGTGGTATCAGCTCGCCTTGTCGCTGATGGCAGCAGGCAAATCAGCTCGTGCCGTTAAGGTTCTCAAGGAGTGTATCCGCCTGAAGCCCGATGACCCCACCATCCCGCTGCTGGCCGTAAAGCTGTGCATCGGACCTCTCCACTGGGTGCGAACCGTACAGCTGAGCTGCCCTGTGAGGGCGGTTTGTTAGTTCTTAATATAACTGCCTCCAACATGTTCACCAGTGTCTAACTTTCTCTTTCTGTTCCTATAAATTTCCCTCTGTCATCATTCAGCTGGATGAAGGAGAGTGCTTTGCAAAGATGGTGATTGACATGGGAGAGAAAGCAGCTGAATTCAGAGCCAAAGGCTACTTGGCTATAGGTTTGGTTTACAGCCTCAAAGCCACTGATGGTAAGTCTGTTCAGGAGAAGTTCCATCTCCTGAGTCATTTTCTTGGTGCGAACGTGTGAGCAAGATTTTTATTTTTTTCTGGGTGAAAAGAAATCAGGAAAAGCTACAAGTTTGCAAACTCATTGGCTGATTTGGACCAGAGTCCAAATCACCTTTAATACATTTTTTTTTTTTCCCAGCCTAGCCCAGGTCAGGAGGGCTTTCTCTTTTTTGTGATTTTGTTTTTTCCAGCTTTCAAATGGTTGTGCATCATCAATTTGTCCCTGCTGCCTACTATGCCCTATTTCACACTGTTTAAAAATTTAAATTGAGGTTAATTTTAGGGTCAGGAATTCAGTTCATGTGCAAAAGGCCATGAAAGGACTTCGAAGAAATCCATCACAGCACTTCATGTATGCAGGGGCGTGGCTAAAAATTCTCAGCTGCAGACCTGTCACCAGGGGCCAGTGTCGGGAGATGTTTTTGAGCCTGTTAGTTTGTCTGTTATGACACCTATTGCCCAACAACAGCACAAACACAAAGAATTTTTGTTTGTAGTGAAGTGAAACTGAGCGATAACAATGAAAATGTTTGATGGGGTTTTTTTTCTTTTCTTTTCTTTTCTTTTTTTTTTTTGAGCTCCTTCTTCTTCGCAGTGAACTCGATGCTGCTCTTTCCCGTTCAAGCAACTTTCAACCACTAAATATGACAAGCAAGGGGTGGAGCTGTATATGATCATTGCAATGATCATATCTGTGTAATCTTCCTTTGTAACACTTAAACAGACCAGTATTTACAAAATGGTCCTAATGGTTTAGACAGTATGACCTGAAATGAGCAACTGAGGCCATAAACCAAGGTTTACGAGGTCCTGACCGTTTTCGATGAGGTTTCTATGGGATCATAATTCTTTTTGCCCCCTGGTGGCCATTAAAATGAATGCAGGTTTAAGGTCTTCACTTTTCAGACCCAGATGCTGCTTCCATCTTTTTTATACATTTATTTATGCATATTACACTTTGATCTTTAGTGGACCAGACCAGTGAATATCGTCTTTCTGTCAGTGTAAAGAAGTTTAACTGCACATTTAATCCCTGCGATATCTCTATAGAAGAAAAAGAAGTGCAGTTTAAGCACCACACCTCACTGCTCTATTTAAATGAAAGGAGTGTGTCGGCACGACTCTTTGGGCTTAAATTGTAAGAAATGTGTAAAAATACAGAAAAGGGTCTGGTAGCTCAGAGCCCAGACTGTCCTGTAATTAGAAAGCGGAAGGCTTTTGTTAATTGCCAGAAAATGCCATATTTTATTTATTTTCCTGTGGACACGTCGTCATTTAGTTGTTTGTCTATTGCTTCACAAGTTTTGTGTTGTACAAATAGTTGTGTAGGAGGTCTTTAGCACTAGGACAGGCTTTAAAATTTATAAAAACGCCGTTAAAAGTCCAAAATTTTTACCCTACTTCACAGTCCAGTGGTCCTTATGTTTGACACCCCTGTTGTATACTGTGCACGGTTGCAAATTTATCACACCTTTGCTCACTCTGAGTAAATTCAAAGTAAGGGAAGTGTGAGTCATAGTTCTTTAAGTCTTATGTTGAAGCCATGAGTTCTCTCCTCATTTAAAATCATTCACCTTGAGTTTTCAGCCACTTTTCAAGTGGTTTTGCTTTTGGGTATGTGTGTTGTCAAGGGACTCTTTTTGTTTGTGATGAGTATGATGGCAGATCTCTATAGAGCGCTTGCTTACATGAGGCGATGCATCATCTGTTTCTGTTTCTGGCCCGGATGTTTTTGCAGTATGAAAAGAAGTGTGCAAAAAGCTGCAGTGATTCATAATCAGTGTTACTGTAAAACCCATCGGTGTGTTTGTGTCTCTGCATGTCTTTAGCGTCATTGCGGAGCACACAGGAGGAATACCAGAGGAAAGCTTTGGGAGCCTTCCAGAGGTTCGGACTGAGCTATGATGCTCTGTTTTCTTTTTTACACTTTAAACTTACCACCCTGCCAAACCATTACATTATGCTTTTGACTCATTTGAACCTTCGTGCTTGTGCTATGACTAATCTGTGCGCAGTGTTTGGCTTTGACATTATTTATTCCCATAAATATGGTCAGCATTTGCTTCCCTTTTCCATCCGTCTTGCTGCAGCGCTGACCTTATTTTTCCACTGGGATCTTTAAAGTTTTATCTAACCTTATTTAATTTTTTATTTGCTGCCTCTTGAACACAACATCTCCTTTCTCTTCTCATCTGTAGAGCTCAGAGTCTGTCTCCAACTGACCATTTGGCAGCCTTCTACTTGGCGCTGCAGCTTGCCGTGTCCAGACAGGTAATGCAAGAGAAAATCAACACAAGTGTTTGTGACACTAAAGGCAGACGTCCAAAATCAAAACTCCAAGGAGTTGCACATATTTAACAAAGTGCTTTTTATCCCAAATGTTGTGAAAACCTGTAGTTTGTGTACATATGTGTGTGTATGTGTGTAGATCCCCGAGGCGCTAGGCTATGTTCGACAGGCGCTGCAGCTTCAAGGAGATGACGTCCACTCCCTTCACCTGCTGGCCCTGCTTCTCTCTGCCCAGAAACACTACCACGATGCTCTCAATATCATAGAGATGGCTCTCTCCGAGTACCCTGAAAACTTCAAGTGAGCTCACAGACCTCACACTGAGGTTTTTTTTGTTTTGTTTTTTAATTCAGCTGGATCAGGCTGATTGTGAGTTTGTGTGTGTCTGTGTAGTCTGTTGTATACCAAGGTGAAGCTGGAGGCTATGTGTAGAGGACCCGAAGAAGCTCTGCTCACCTGTAAACACATGCTGCAGATCTGGAAGAGCTTTTACAACCTTACCAACCCAAGGTATGCACACACTCCCCCTAGATAAAAACACTACTATTTCTACTACTGATAGAAAGTGGTAGGAATATGGTAACAGTGATGATAGAATTTACAAAGTGCAGACAGGCAAAACTAGTATACCATCAACACCAAGGTGCAAGATGGATGACAAACCAGACACCAGATGGTTAAAACCATCATGTAATAGAAGGTGGTCACAGATTTTTGTGAACGTCATCTCGTCAGGCAGGTGGTTTCAAATCCAACGGGCCTCAAACTAGCAGCAGATGTAAGTCTTAACTTTGGAAGTCGAGGATCTAAAGATCGATGAAATGTTCAAGTCATACATAAATATTACAAAACACGGAGCCTGTGGCTAGAAGGCAGGATTGGTGTCATGTGTCTGCTCTATGTCAGCCCCTCCCAAACTTAAGGAAAACACTGCACATGGGAGTAAAGTCACAGCGGGAGGTACTCGCTTTCTGTGAGTCGTCCTTTTAATATTCAGTGTGTTCCAATTTTGATTTTTGATGATGATTAGCCAATAACGGCTCCGCCAAAGTCAAGAGAAATAAAATAGTTATTATTTGGTCAGATAAATGAACAATAACACATGGTTCAAATCACATGGCTTTGTTTTATTGTTGTTTCCTTTTTATAGTCCCTTAAATTTTGAGAATCACTGCTTCTCTTGTTTCTGGTGCCGTAACAAAACAAAGAGTTTGATCTTTTTTATTTGTTTGCTTTTATTTTAAATAATTAAGATATGGTGCCAATAAAAAAACAATAACTATACCTGATTTAAATGTTACTATCCCCTTTAAGGTAATATACTTCCAGATTTTTACTTGTGATCAGCGGTTTAAAACCAAACAAAGTGCATCAGATGTTGAGCACCATGATGTCATCCCCCAGGGTAAAACTGGGCGTCTAATCTAATGTCTTGAGGAGTTGGAGGGAGAGCATTTGTAACCGAGGCAGGTGGCTGTGATTTCTCATTTCTCCTACTCTTGAGATTGAGCTCCCTGCGGCTTTGACCTCTATTCCAAAATAATATTAAGGTTGACGGGTCGCTGCTGTGAAGATCTGAAGATGCAGCCTTCGTCCTAAATAAGCACCTTCGTGTGGTCATAATGGGACCGGTGTGGAGCTCTGAGATAGGTGCAGAGGTGTGCAAGGAGACTACCTTGAAGGATCTGGCCACCAAATGTAACATTTTCAAGACTTTTAAAAAGAATTTAAGAGTCTAACTTTGTGAAGACTGGATTACACTGAACTACCAACTGAGCACTTTCATGGAGAAGCATTTAATTCATTCTAATGGTCTTGGCATTTAAAAATGCTATAATTCCAGGCATGTTTGGTGATGTGTACTAAATAGCTTCTGTGGACAAATATTAGTTAATAACATAAACGGTCAATAAAGTTTACGGTTTATGTTAACCTGATGTTAGGTTTGTTTTTAATTTTAATCAAAACCTCACTATGTGAAAACATAAGCTAGTATTAGTTTATATTTATGATCCTGCAACTCTTGCCCTAATTAAATGTGCATTTAATAAGTTTTTTTTTTTTAATGTTGTACATGCTTCTTTTTGCAAATTTTCTGAATGGATTATAGCACAATTATGAAATATAAGACCTTCCCTGACTCTCTCTGTTGATTCTGACAGTCTGTGGAGTGACTTCTTTGTGAAGAACTTGGGAATTTTCTGCAAATATCCAAAGGATGTGGCATTTACACCCGCTCCCGAGTGCCGCTCCCAGTGCCAACAGTGAGGAAGTTAACATTAGCTTATGAATGGTGTCCACTAATCACTAATGGCAACAAACAGGCACAACAGGAACACAAAAGAAAAAGGAAACACTGATGTGGCTTTACATATGGCATTTAATCCATAGTTTTCAGGACTACAGATCACTTTAAGCCATCTTTTTTTCTGGCTAATGTTAGCCAATGCTAGTAATATGCCTAATTTCTTAGTTTTTTTGTCTGTGTGCATTTGTCCCATTTAAATGTTTAAATCATCAAACAGAATTTAATACAAGATAAACATAACCAGAGTAAATACAAAATGCACTTTTTAAATTATTTCATTTATTAAGTGGGGAAAAACCAACCCAAACCTGCCTGTTCCTGTGTGAAAAACTCTTCGCCCTCTAAATCTAATAACTGGTTGTGCCATCCTTGGCAGCAAGAGCTGCAATCAAGCATTTGAATAACTGGCAATGAGTCGTTGTCTCTTCATTAATAACACAGTTCCCTTGAAGCTTGATCTAACTAAGAAAACAAAAGGTAACCAAGGCACTAAAATGCTTTATCTCCTTGTTTTTGGAGGTCATGTTTGCTCAGCAGCTCAATCCCAGGCCGTGTGTGTGTGTGTGTGTGTACTTGCATGCGTGCGGATGTGCTTTTTCCCTTTGTTTACATCCACGTGTGTTTCGTGGCAGTGATTCGGGGCGTGGCAGCAGTCTGTTGGATAGAGCCATAGCAGACAGGCGACAGCTCAACGCTATGACCTTGCCTGACTTCAGTGACCCTGAGACTGGTAGGTACAGACACCTGAAATCTACGTGCTCAGCGTTCATCAGTAAACATGGAGTCAAACTTGTTTAATTATTCTCTCTCCTCTAATGGTCATCCTGATGTCTTTTTTACAGATAGCAGAGGGAAAAGTCTATAAAAGAATCTGATTTCTTTTAACTTAATGTATAAACTTTAAAAAATGGGAGCATTTTAAAAAATGTTGTTTGAGAAAAGGTCTTTTTGTTTCTATCCTTTCTTTAATCCTTCATTAATTTCACTCATTTCTGTTTTATTTCCTCCTTTTTAAGTCTCAGGTTCTTCCTCTTCGCTCTCTGGTTTCGAACCAGTCTCCCCCACCTCCCCCTCCACCATGTCCACCGTCTCCTCCCCGCTGTCTTCCCCTTCTTCCCCTGTCTTCATCTTCCAGCCTCCCCGTACTCCTCTGCCTCCACTCCGAAAACCATCTTTCCGCTCTCCTCTTCCTTCCCTTCCCCCTGCCCTTCCTCCTCCTCCTCCACCTCCACGCACAAAGACCAGGACTCACTCCTTCTGCAACCACGCCATAGTCCGCCAGCTGTCCTCCAACTGTAATCCTCCTCCACGTCCGCTCTGCCTGTAGCACGGTGTGGAGACTGACCGCAAACAGATGTCATCACTAGTTACTTTTGCCTGTTTCTGTGATTTTCGAGCTACATATGTTATGACTGCTGTTAGTTATAACATCATAAAAACTTATGTCCAGAAACACGAATAGAATTAAAGATCCAAATTATATCACGAAGCACTTCAGCCTCCTGAGAGACCAGTTGGATCTCTGTCATGCTCATGAAGTCATGAAATTTCCTGTACTGCAGAGTACTGTCAGGCCAAGCTGTATTACTTTAATAATGCTGAGAAATTCACTGATATTTAAAACTATTTAACTATTTAAAAAATATTTAAAAATGACAGGGGCAGCACCATTTCCTGACACATTTAAATCCTCCTGGATGTGGTTTTAAGGCAAAAGAAAAATCTTAAAAGTTAAAAAATGCTTCTGTATTTTTTGGAGAAGATATTAATTACCTGCTTTGCAATTATTTTCTTACTTAAAGGCATCACTTGTTAGTTCCTGGCTTAATATAATGTGCCCATAAACCACCAGCTATCTTTGAACTCTTCGATATCTAAGAAAGCTCCTCTCATGAGCAGCCACATCCTTCTTGTGCTTTCACCCGCACTGATGCTTGAGCGGATCGTGAATTAGAGAGATTTGTTTAAGCCTGGACAAAGAGACTAAAGAGACTAACCATTTTGGAGTTTTGGCAGAGACAAACTCCACAGAGCTGCTGTAAATCCTGGCATGTTTGCAGAAACTTTGATGTGGATTGAGTTGAGTTTTGATGCATTTGCTTTGCTTATTTTGTGACTTAAACATGCGCGCACACACACACACACTCATTTTATTTAGCTAAAATTTATTGATCAGATGGGGGGGAGGCAGTTTATTTTATAAAAGATTTTTTTTCCACAGATCGCAGCTGCACTTTCTCTGCACCTCTGTTTTTGTTTTTAATCATTTTCAGTGTTTCCATCTCAGCCAGCATTAATTTGTCGTGCTTCCCAGTTTCGATGTTGTCTGTCCTTGTTGCCATCTCTCTTACTAATGATAATAATAATGGTAATGGTTGTATTTTAGATTATTTTTCCCGCAGGCCACAGAACGGTGACAGCTAGTCGATCATCATGGTTACTGAAAATATGATACATTTACTTTCTTTAGGAGATTTTTGAATGATTAGTTCATTAAAAAGCTAATTCAGATACGCAGGTGCACCACATCATGAGGTGTAAAATATAATGTTCCTCACCAGTTTTTGAAACAAAAAACCTGTCATGACTTGAAATATGGGCCTTTTCAACATTTTGGTATTTAAAAAAAACTTTATGGCACTAACTACTTAATAGGCCAGTGGGGGTGCATTTATGGAGGACTGACTCTGCCAAACGTTTAAAAAAAAAAAACAGAAAAAAAGAATGAATGACTCAGTAAAATGAAGTAATTTGCCAATAAGCAAACAAACTAGAACATAAATAGTGTTTTATAGCACATAAAAATTAGCTTTTACCTACAGTTATTTTAAGTATTCCTTTTAGTGCATTTATTCATACAAATAATCGTTATTTACTGATTATTTTTTCTTGACCTAAATATTTCAGTATTTCCACACATACTGATTTTTTTTTATTTTCTATACATATTTTTTTCCCCATCTATGCAAAGAAACAGCGCTCTTATTTTGAAAGTTCAGTTTCTGCTAATTCTTTTTTTTCTTTTTTCTTTTTAAATGTAGTTATTCACAGTTTGGTCTGTTTCGGTCCTCCATATTCACATGTTATTCACATCAAATTTCTGTCATTAGAAAGGGTGCATGAGTGGAAGCGGCTCGCCTGCTGTCATGTGGTCTAAAAGTGACTGTGTGAAGAATGAAAACCCCGCGGGGTGCTGCAGTCTACCCTCTGTGGATTCTTTTGTTTTTTTTCCTCATCGTGCTTTGGATATTCTGTCTCTTCCTCTCTTTCAATCATTAACAGTTGTCTTTCTGTTTCTTTCCATCCCTTCGTTTTATTCAAGGCGGCCTTCAGGACGCTAACACACTTGGTTTTTCCTCCATGTTTTCTGTTTGTAAGTAGCCATCTAACCTCCATCTTTTCTTTTCTTTTTCCCCCCCTCATCCATTCTTCCGTCATTGCTCCCCCTTTGTCCCAAGAGGTCCAGATATGTGCCATATTCATATGACGAGAGTATGTGCAAATATCTTCTGCTTTAAGGTGACATCTGCAAACAGTTTTATTTTGTTTTTTAAATCATGCTGGTGGCTGATCCAAATGCCCACAGTGAGTTAGAAGGAAGAGCTCAGGCATCTTTTGCATGTTGTCACATTAAAGCAGCATGAAGGTGTTCAGGAAACAACTTGTTTGGATTGTTTTAGAGCACAATCCAGATGAGGGTCTTATTTTCCAGCACACAGATGTTATTTCTGATGCGTTTATCCTTTTCGGTAACGTGAAAGAGAAAAAAAACTCACCAGGAAGCAGTTTCCTTCTCACGAATGTGATGGTAGTTGTGACAGTAACTGTTACAACAAGCTTGAGGCAAATTGCTGACAGATGCTCAAGTGTTGTAATCAATTTAACGTAATCTGGCTGAAATCTAACAAAGGTTTGTGGGAAGTTGCACAAATGAGGAAGTGGTGCAGTTTCTCATGAAAGGCATTATCAGCTCTGTACAGCTGATATCCTTCTCTGTATTCTGACACTTAGGCTAACGATCGCATCTTTCACATGATGTCAAAGTACCGCTCGTGTCAAATATGAGTCTTTGCAAATTTTTGCGTTATTTCAGTGAGTGCCTTCCGCCTGACGCCCTCAAAATCAACTTTGTACCATAACTTACAAGCTAAGTTTAACCTTCATACCATGGAATTTGGCACTATTTTGGTGTTTGTTTATTTTTTGATAACTGAAAAGCACATTTAAGTCCAGAAGGAAACACGGGTTGAAGGTGAGCCTGTTATCAAACTGAGGATAAAAAGAAGACCTCGTTTTGAGCAGCCACATATCCCACATGGTAATCTGACCCTTGCAAATTTAGCCAAGTTAGTTTTTTGGGGTTTTTTTGTTTTTTTTTTTTATATGGATCAAACAAGCTGTATCGAAATATTGACTTACACCGATCAGCCCGCCCCAGCCTACTACTCTACAAACCCTGATGACAAAACCTCAGTGACCAAGTAGGGCATGGACTCAGCAGTGTTTTTTACCAGAGGAGTCATTAAAATACTTATTTAAAGAGGTGGCAGCAACACACCACTGGAAAACATTCAAACACACCCTGACATCTTTGTAGAATCACAACAAGCATAACGTGCAACAATAAACACTCCACGATTGATGTAAAGTCCAACACAAACAAAGAGCAGCACACACAAACAGTAAGACCTGCGGGTAGAAACAAAAAAGAAAACGGCAGCTGGAGGAGGATCGGAGGAAAGGAGGTGCACGGGAGCATAGTAAGCAACAGATAGATGATGGGGAGGTCACAGGGTGACAGATCTGAAGAATCTAGAGGCAGGGAACACTTTGGGCTTCATGTAATCTGTAGATCTATAATTCAGTGTAATTCTGGCGTATTTAATACATTCATTTGTGCAGACCTCCCTCTCACTGGCCACCTCCTCCAGCTCCTCTAGGGATGGAGGTGTTCACTGGCCTTCCCTGGGCCTTATACATTTAAATCATCTTTATACACATCCAAATGTGGATTTGGGTAAAAATCCATATTTGCCATCTTGCAGTACAGAAACAGGCTTGCATGCAGACGATGCACAGAGAAAAGTGAAACAAAGTAAGACTAAAATAAATCAAATAAAGCTTCAAATTACCGAAACAAATTCCACCTGCAGGCTGAAGGTGTTTATTCGCCATCATCGGCTTAATTTAGGGAGCGCTACACGCCATCCTGCCCGTGTTGTGCTGCGTTCGGCTGGGCTGCTGCATGGTGGCGTCTAATAAATTACTCCACAGCAAACAGGATTCTCAGCTGAATCGAGACATCCTTTTGCCATGTAGTCCTCTCTTAGAAATCTTTAAAATTCACATCTTCTCCTTTTTTAAAATATTTTTTTATTATCCCTTCAGTCAGTGAAGGGGACGGATCAGATTAAAGCAAGCTGTGTTCATTTTAAATTTAGAAAAGACTCTAAGAGGCACGTTTTATTCATTTTTAATCCCTTTAGGTTGCAATGCATATGACAGTTTAGCGAAACAAAACAAGACAAAGATCAAATTTTGTGATGTGTAAGGGGGTCGTTCTGTGTGGCGTTGTGATACGTTTGGCTTTTGTGGACCTGCTTTTCCTCCCATGCTGACCCCTGTAATAGTCCGCGGATACGCAGACCATCACAGCGACACTTCTTTTAGTTACTAATGAGCAGAGTGATGCAGTTTTATGCATGATGGTGACACTAATTCGTTGTAACTCAGGGCCCTAACACTGTGTGCCGCCGAGTGCTGAATGGCGTGGACTTATTTTAAGGCTTGAAAAACTGTGTGCCAGTGTGGACTCCAACTGTTTACTGCAACCAAACACTGCAGAACCACAGTAATCAGTGGCCTCTGCTGTTGTTTTGTTCAGTTAAAATCACCCTGCATTGTGGCACATGGCTGCCTAACACTGCTGTTGTAGTGGTTAGTCACAAAATTTGGAAGATGGTGTATTCGTCTGTGATGGTTTGATTTCCACCCTCCAGGTTCGGTGCACGCTACCTCCATAGCAGCCAGTCGTGTGGAGCAGGCTCTATCCGAAGTCGCCTCCTCTTTGCAGAGCAGTGCCCCCAAACATGGACCCCTGCACCCCTGGATGACCCTGGCTCAGATCTGGCTCCATGCAGGTATCTTCTTACTCATTCGCAGCGCATGCATGAAAGTTATTTTATGCCTTAATAATTAATCATTTTGTAACTGGCCGTCAAATACAGCAGGGCACTGTCTGCTCACCTCTTTCGCTGTGGCTTGTGGTCGATATTTGCTTCATCAGAGAATCAGATATGAGGTCAGAGTGAGTGCACCGGCATCAGCCTGCAGGACTTTATTGAAGAGCAGTTTGATTAGATATCTACTGGATATATTGGATTTCCCCTCACTTGAGCTCAGATTCTGATTTCAGCGACCAAGACAGACTGCGGTGTCCACACAAACAGACACACACACTCGGGCTGAGGTAGTTTGTCCGCCTGTTTGTCTGTCCAGCTGCTTCCTGTCAGGCTTGGCCATGTCCAGCCCGGTGATACGGCTAATGTAATCAGCCAGTTCAGGCTCATTTCCTCCGTCTCTACTCGTATCATTCTGTCTTCATCACACCAGCGCAGTGAAAGCATCAGCTGGGCATGAAGTGAAGAAGTCTTTTTTTTTTTTTTTTTTTTTCTGCTCATGCAGCTTGAAGGGAAAAATGTTTTTATCCTTTCTTATTTTCTGCATCATGTTAAGAGTATTGCCGTGTCTGTGCAGCAAAAGCAGTCCAAAAGTCACATTTAATTAGTCATTCAAACAAACAAACGCACATATGTGCGGGACATATATGATGACGGCAGGCCAGTGGCGAGGTGTGTCGCTGGAGATATAGATTACACGTCAGGCATCAGCTCTGAGCCCCTTTTTGTTTGCAGTGGTGATGGACAGGCTAACAGATGAGGTCAGGCAGGAGTCTCTGTGGACGATGATGGACTTTGAGAGTAGGGAGCAGGTGGAGGAAAGTCTGGGGAGGTGGAGGTATGCTCTGGAGTGAGGAGGAATGGAAGTCAGTAGAAGAAAAACTGAATATATGTGTGAGAATGAGAGAGAGAGAGAGAGAGAGAGAGCAACGGGTATAATAGTGAAGCTGCAAGGAGTGTAGGTAGAGAAGGTAGATGAGTTTGGAGACAAAGTTAGGCTGAGATCGTTTTTTGGACATGTGTGGAGGAGGAGTAGCGGATATACTGGACAAAGGGTATTGAATATGGAGCTACCAGGCAAGAGGAAAAGAGGAAGACCACAGAGGATCAGTATGTCAGTAGAAGATGCTGGGATAGGGTGAGATGCAGGCAGACTGTAGCCAGCCCCATAGGGAGCAGAAAAAAGAAGAAGATGATGAAGAATGTCGCATTACGTCCACAAAAGATCAACAGATACGAGAGATCATATATCATCAATATGTGTAAACTTGCACCGAATGGGCTTCGGATGCTTTGAGGAAAAACATGGAACAAAAATGATCACAGTTGGAGGAATTTGTTTTTTAGCCCTGGAGGTTCACAGTGTTTCTATCAGTTTGAAATTCTGCGTGTGTCTCTGTTGAACAGCTGAGGTGTACATCGGCATGTCAAAACCTGCTGAGGCCACGGCTTGCACGCAGGAAGCCGCCAACCTCTTCCCCACGTCCCACAACGTCCTCTACATGAGGGGGCAGATAGCCGAGCTGAGGGGCAACATGGACGAAGCCAAGCGCTGGTACGAGGAGGCCCTGTCCATCAACCCGACTCATGTCAAGACCATGCAGAGACTGGTAAGACACTCTGTCCTCCACCTGCCCGCCTGCAGTGCCCTCACACCCTGACGGGTTTTGTGTGTTTTTATGTAATTACCTACAGTCTGCCGGGACGGTTAAACGTCACCTGAGGAGAGCAAGTTTGTTTTTTGTTTTCAGTCTGCTCCGTCTGCCCTTGTCACTCATTCACTCATGTTGGCAGGCCAGAAACGAACAGACCTGCTGATGGAGAGAGTAACACACAGAAATTCTCTCCAGTGACAGCACGGCAATGGCACCTGAAGGCGGATCAGTACCTCAGTAGTCAGTGTTTCCATCTGACCCGAGTGCAGATTAAAATGTTTTCATGCATTTGGAGGCTTTTGACAATTTGTGTAGTTGGTATTTTAGCTTGAAAACTGGATTTTGTCTTGGTAATTGTGGGGAAAGTTTCAAGCTTGCATGTGTGTCTGCAGGAAAAAGATGGTGTAGTTGAACATGCCTATAAAGAAAATTGGCTTTTTCTCCAATTTATTCAGCTTAGTTAATGTTAAGTGATAATTTAGCAATAGATGAAAAGAGTGAAAATAATAAAAGTGAAATGAAGAACTGAGCTGACTGAGCCACGGTGGACCATCAGTCTGCAAAAGTTAAATCAGGTAAATCAAAGGAAGTAAAAGCCGAGACTAAAACGAAAAGCACATGAGGAGTACTAAAAAGAAAAGGAGAAGAGATTAAAAGTCCAGTTATGGAACAAAGAGAAGAAAAAGAGTAGGTTGGGGAAAAAAAATATGATGCAACCTTAAGTTAAGAGCAACTAAAAACAGGAGGAATTCATGTTTATTTATGAAAGTTAAAAACAACAGGAGTTCAGTCAGAGTGCTTTCCAGTCACGAATAAACAGAAATAATCCGGACAGGATTCTTGGTGTGCCTGGCATCGTTATTAGTTTAAAGGGTCTCCTTCCGGGCTACTCTGCTTATAATCACTTTTTGATAATCTGCGGAGGCCATGAGGCAGTGAAGCAACCCCAAACCAGATGATTTCATCACCTGCAATGACGCCAACTTACAAAGAAGAAGAAACACTTCCCTCATCATACTCACTCACGCTACTGTAAAAAAATGGACGGCAACCTCTTTGTGACTGGAAGAAGTCGGAGATTGTCAGTTGTGGTGATCACTGGGACACCCTCGATCTTCGACCGCTTTCGATTGGGGTCGCCTTTTGGGAGGCAACCTGTCTCCAGACTTGGACCAACTGCAGTCATGTTCACAAATAATTTGGGTCACGCTGTGGTCTCCAGCCACTGTTTTCCATTGTTCTGTTTCCATGGGGTTAAAATTCTGTTAAGACACGTGGTTGACAATAAGACGCACAAAAAATGGTGGGTGGCACCGAAAAGCACAGGTGTCAAACGTAAGGCCCGAGGGCCAGAATCGGCCCGGCAGAGCCTGCAAGAGTTTTATTTTTAGTGGACAGTCTCAGGAATAAACTACCAAAAGATGAAAGTTGGCTGTACGTGGCCACCCGTGTAAAAGGAGTTTGATATTGCTGCTGTAAACTAATTCCTTGTAACACGGGCGTCGAGAAAGACCAAGTGGCCACTCGAGGAACTGCACATTTTGGCACATTAGCTTTGGAGGTGGCTGTCCCTCAATAATACCCTGTTGAAGATTACTTCCATTAGTTTTTCCCATTTGCTGAATTTGATTTCCATAGCTCTCATGCAAGGAAAAAAAAGGGAGTAGAGAGCTCAGACCCAATGAAAATCATCATCTTATAACTGGAAGTGTGTAAAATACGGCAGGTAGTTTGCGGTAGAAGATAAATGACACGGCGCATTGTGTAAATTTGAATCTCTGGTTTAAATTCTTCATGAATAATAAATGTTAAAAGTGAGAGGAGGGTGGCTGTTACCGATATTAAATGTAACTTTAGAGCTTCTTTTTAAATAAAGCCAACTGCTGAATCATTGACACACAGCATGATTAAAAAAAGGGGGACGTTCTCTTCTTCTCTTGTTTTCTCTGTTGCAGGGTCTGATCCTGCACCAGCTGCAGCGTTACAGTCTGTCGGAAAAGGTGCTGAGAGACGCCGTGCAGGTGAACAGGTGAGTTTGTTTGTGTTTAAACAAGGTAATGTTTGTACGTTTTCTCCTTTAAGGCACCTGTGGTTCAACATTTTTCTATTTCCTCACTTCTTCCTCTTTCCATCCCATTTCATCTTACATCCCTTTAATTTCTACTCTTCTTTTACTTCTCCTCCCTCTTTCTATGCTGCTGTTCTCCTCTCATCCTTTTTTCTTCCTCTTCTTTTTTTCTTTGCTTTCCTCTCCTCGTATTTCCCATCTTCTCGCTTCCTCACTTCTCTCCTTGCCATCCCACTTTTCACCCATATCCCTCTACTCTCATCTCTTCTTCCTCCCCTTCTTTCCTTCTCATCTTCCATGTTTTTCCTCTCCACTATACTCTTTCCTCTACTCTTCCTTCCCCCCTTAAATTTGTTTCTGTTCTTCCTCTTGTGACTTCTTCATCCCTCTGTCCTCCTCAGCACGGCTCACGATGTGTGGAACAGTCTTGGCGAGGTGTTGCAGGCTCAGGGAAACACCGCCGCCGCCACTGAGTGTTTTCTCACCGCCTTGGAGCTGGAAGCCAGCAGCCCCATCCTGCCCTTCACCATCATTCCCAGAGCGCTATGAGAAAAACACAACACAGAGCATGCCTGCATGCCACTTCACAAACACACACACACGCACAGACCTGTGAAAAGGTGTACTGCCAAACCCTCACACACACATAAACTCAGAGTGTATATAGAAATGCAAAGAGTACAAATAAACAGGCTTCCCTTTGTCTACCCGTGCTTCCCACAATGCCTTTCTTGTGGCCACGTCTACGTGAGTGTGCGTGTCTCCTTCCCGCGCTGCGTGTTGTCTCCTTCGTCAGATTCCGTTCAAATCATTAGTCTCAGAAGCCTGAAAGTTGTGTTTACATGTTGTTTAGTCCAAATACACACACATACACTCTGAGCAGTTTTAACATAAATGGATTAGATTTCCTTTAAAAGCCAAATATGCATTTACTTGGTACTGTTCACATCGATGCAGCAGAAAACACTCTTTCAAAAGTGAATGCAAGCGCCAAAACCTGTCCGTCCCACTCCCTTCCTGTTTTTTTGTTGTTGTTTTTTTCTTATGATGATTTACGGAGTTCAGCAAGGTGAGAGAGCACCATACAATTTAGAGCCACCAGTGGACCCTGTTTTCAGTGGGTTCATGTCTTCATTTTTAATCCCTCTCCCTGCCCTGCATCTTTTCTGCTTTCTGATAATTCATCAGATAAAACTCTGTGTAGTCTCTGTGTTCTGCCCTCACCTGGTTTAGTCAGTGATAAATATTGCTGTATGTATATGCTTGTGTTTTTTTTTTTTTGTGTTTTTTTTAACACTACAAAAACTCAATCCCATTTTATATGCACGCACAAACACTATAGATCAGCAGCAGATCGAGCTGGGGGTCAAACCACTGAGTATTGCCTTCACTGTACTGTAGCCCTGCACCCGTGTTAGCATTGTTAAGATTTGAAGACAGGAACCCACTGTAGTAAATTCAGACTTCTGAGTGGTCAATGGTGTTTGACTCGACACTAAGATCATTTTCCAAAAGTATCTGTTACACTTTTTGGTGCTTGTATCCACTCAGGAAAGATGCTCGTGTAATGTTATCTGCATCTGCATGGAGGGGGATCGTTGTTACTGTATACCTGGCTCAGGATCAGCCAGGTCTTTAAGGTATCCAGCGGAGCATCGACGGACTTTCACTGAGAAATAAATCGGTGTAAATGCCAAACCTCGGGTTGCATTCGCCCTCACGGGAAATCTGATTTCCTGCAGCTGATTTTAAAGTGGTTTTGTGAAGTTTTTAAGTGAAAAAAATCAAAGTGTCACCTGGAGCAACTCAAACGGCAGCAACGTATAATCTGCGGGAAACTGTTGGAATCTGTGCCACATCTTTCCTCCAGAAATCAGATTTCCTTGTTGAGCGCAAATGCACCCGCAGTGATTGTGTTGTCTTTGTGTCCCATCACCAGATTAATATTTTTATTTCGTTTTTGATTATAAATACAAAGAATTATTGCTGTATATGTCATTGTTCCACTAGTGTATTATTATTTTAGAGAGTAAATTATAACTATTTTCTGGAGAATGATGTTGCTGAGAGAGAGCGAGGTATGAAAGGACATCCTCCTGAGCTCAGGCAGTGAGTTCTTTGTGCTGTAAATGAATGATTATGAAGACCAAGATAATAAAAGTGGATAAAAAGAAGATGTCTGATGCTCTCTGGTTCTCGTGTGTGTGTGTGTGTGTGTGTGTGGTACTCCTCCTGGCAGCGACCTTGGGGTCGGCGGTGTGTGTTACTTTCTCAGGTGTGTGTCTGTCAGCAAATCGACGCGTGCTCCTTTGTGTGGTTTTTATCAGAGGATTACAGCGCTGACAGGTTTTGTCCTGGAGTGCCAGGAAGCCCCCGCTCGGTCTCTCCCGCCCGCCCAGTCCTGAGGTCTCTGCTGGACTCTCAGGTGTCACTAGAGGTTAATCTCTCATAAAGGTCATCACCAGGGTCCAGGTGTAAACGTTTGCACAATTCCTGCAGTTACTGCCACAATTTCAGTTTAAAAATGACACAAAGTACTTGCTCACTAGGGTTTCTTATTATTGGCTAGTGCACAAAATGAAGCTGGTTTCAATTGTCCAAAAATTAAACTGCAGTCCCTCTAATGGCCACGTGAGGTTGGCTCCAAATGTGAGTCCATCAACAGGACAATAACTAAATAAAAGCGAATGCATGAGGGCATAATGTACTGAAGCTTTCATCAATGAATAAAAGCAAGATGACAACATTCTCGAATGACGAAAACCAATCTAGAACTAATTAAGTTGTGTAGAAAGGCGGGACAAGTTTGGAAGTGGTCCAATCAGAAATAATCTCTATGTGCATTAAGGTTAGGCAGCAGCAGATTTGATCTGCTCCTGGGAAACAGTACAACAGGCCCAGTGTTTCTCATGAAAATACAACAAAATGAACTTTTAAGGAAAATAAGACTCATTGTAAACCATGTGGAGCAATTGATAAAGACACAACAAACTTTACACTCACATTTAGTCTGCTATAAACTTATCATGTTTAGTCGGCTAAAACTGAAAGAATTTAGATGCCTAAATTATAACTAAAACTAAATCAAAACCCCCTGGCAACCACAGGTCACTAAGAAAAAATGTGTACTCTTCGACCAGTTGCCAAGTGGTTGCTGGCGGTTGCTAGGTGGCCACGGTCACCTGCAGTCTGCATGAGTGATGCGAACTTGTCTGCAAACACCGCTGCAGCAATCATATTTCTAAACGAAGGGTGTTTACTTTGAAGGCGAATGATCTTTTTCCAAGGTTTGCTGCCACTCAGAGACTAGTTGGCAAGTGTTTGGAGGTAAAGTTAAGCCAATCTACTAGCAACCAAAGCAGTCATAAGGAAATAAGCCAGCAGCCACTCCCCAACCAGTGAGGGGGGAATACACATTTTTCCCTAGTGACCAGAAGTTGCCAGGAAGTTGTCATCCGGTTTGACTCGCTTCTGTAGTCAGCCTCTAGTGGCCACTAGAAGAAGTCCAGTTGCTGGAAGTTGTCGCAGCTAGTCTGAGGCTTTAGGAAGGGCTGAAGCAATGATGCTGAAACTCTGCACAAGATAGGAAGTGAAATGTGATACTTTTTATTTTTTGCATGCAGCTGTGAACAAATAAAAACATGATTATGTTCCAGTGCGTTGAGTTGTTGCTCTTACAAACATTTCTTTAATGCAAATGTGCAATGTGTGTGAGAGTGTGTGTGTGTAGGGTGTCAGAGGGACTTTTCCAGATCGCCCAGAACGTCTTGTCTGCAGATGAAGAGCTGTTGCTAGGCAACAGAGCCAGGGACAGGATGGGCAACACAGAACGAGAGGAGGGAGCAGAAAACTGTGGGAGCTGGAGGAAAGAGTGGGAGAAGGAATTGGAGGGGGGGAGGGGGGGCTTGAGCCATGATGAAGACGACTTGTATGAGGAGGTCAAAATGAAAAGCTTCATCTTGAATATTTAAGACTGAGGTGGCGATTGTGGGATTGCAGAGGAGCAGACAGGGGGACAGGGAAGTGTAGGAGGTGTTGGATGTATCCTCTGTCACACACAGAGTTAGTAGCTGGAGTTATGTAACAGTCTGAAGTGTATTAATACATCTTGCTGCTCTTTGCTTGCTATTAGTGAGCTGCCACTCCAGCATTAATAACGGGCTTTCCAGTGCAGAAGATTCTCCCCTCGCCTTCAGCTCTGCTGGCTCCAGATTGCTCTCATAAATATTTCAGCCTTTCACCTGACAGCCAGAAGAATGTAGTGAGGAGCGAGTGTCTGAGGGATTTACTTATATGGGGGTACTGCAGAAGATGAGGATTTTACTCATCTACCCCTCAGATGGAGGTTTAATCATTTAGTTCCCATTTTTGATTTTGTTTGTTTTCTTAAATTTCTGCTACATTTACAGGATTATCGTGGCCAGCTGATCACAACTACTCTATCATTACCAAAAAACCAAAACATTTTTGCCAGGCACATCAGGCGGTGCTGTGATTTGCTTATACATAGAGGTCAGAACTGTTATTTATATGATTATTTCTGCTCCTAAGTTGGGGATTTTAACATGAGTATCTATGGTCTTGCCTTGTGTTTTGCAGCCTAGTCTATAGCCTATGGTGCCATCTGCTAATCTGAGTCACTAAAAAGGAGTGACAGTGCCCTATTTAGATTGGAAATGGCAAATAATGCCAAATAATGGCTCCCTATAGTACCCAGAATTGATCAGTTATGGTAAAAATAAACACAAATGTTTTGGTCAGGGCTAATACCCTCCATCCCTTAGAGTGAGATGGAGGGTATTAGCCCTCAAACATTTGGTAGTCCTCATATCAGAGCTGGCACCGGGATGGACCCTGGACAAACTGGAGAGATAACATGTGTCAGCTAGCCTGGAAACACCTCTGTATTCCCCTGGATCAGCCGAGGGAAGTAGGACCTGGCCCAAAGAACTGGTAGATGACTGAATGGATGGTTCACTAGTGGATTTGTAAAATATACATTCATTAACAGTTGATTTTCTTAGACTTTATTTACCTTCAATGGTCTGGCAATAAATGAATGTGGGTTTACTAACGAGTCAGTGAAGTAAGACTGAAACAAAACATCACAAACTGAAGCCAACAGCTGACGTGACTTTCTAGCCAATAATGGAAGTGTACGTTGATAAAGCCACCCTGTTATCGATATATGGCTCCCAAACACCATCTTTTTTTATACAGTCCATGGTTGCATCCTTTTATCACCGTCTTGTGCTTTCGCAGAAAGTGGTTTTTGTTAATCTCATCCCAAAATATGTTAGGTGGGTTTCAGAGTCTGTGCTCACAGTAAGACATCACACCGATCACCAATGAGTCATTTTAAAGCAGTACGTCCCCCACAGAGTTGCAGGAAAACACACAAGTCAGCTTTTAAAAAAAACAAACAAAAAAAAAAACACAAAACAAAAAAACCCACACACACAAAGTGGCATCTCAGTTCATGTTTGTGTTTTTATTGGAAAAACAAAATGTAAAGACGAGCATGTACATCTTGGAATGCAGATCAACTGAACCAAACAGAACAGCTGGACTGGGCCGGGCCTCGCCGCACCCATACACACACCCACACACACACGCACGCACACGCACGCACAAACAGAAGATAGAAACACCGCAAAGCACCGACCCCCGTCCCCACTAAAGTGAACTTGTGTACACACACAGCATTTGAGGCAATGACATTTTATTCTTTCATCACTTCCTGTTAATCTAAAACCATTTGTTTACTCAATGTTGCGTCAAAAGCTGCTTGTGTATGTCGATCATCTTTAACCAACCGCCCTGAAACCCTACAACACACTCGCCGCCCAACATGGCTCAAAATCGTCACCCTGCCTTGAACAAAAGGTGAACACACGAAGGAAAAGTGACATGCCCGAAACACAAGATCTAAAATGACTTCTTATTTATTCTATTTTTATGCTTTTCTTAAAAATATCTGACTTCACTCAGGTAAGCAAACTGTGAAAGCTTCTTCCTTCGCTCAGCTAACCAACACCTCCTAGGCCGACCTGAGGACCACCGACTGCTTTCTCCTGCTGTGCACTCGACGCTAACCCACGAAAAGCCTCATGCATGAAGAACAGAAATGAAAGAAGACAGGAAGTCGAGGAAGAAAGGCGATCGGCCGTCCCGAAACATCGCAGTGACGTCAGGAAGCCAGCTGCGCGGCGACCGCTCGGCTGTTGAGTTGAGATCTGATTGGGCAGCTCAGCGCTGAGATGGGAGAGGGGAGTGGGACGGAGAGGTGGGGGTACAAGCCAGTACATGCAGATTCAGTTAGTTTTTTTTTTTCCTTTTTGTGAACTTGTTTAATATGGACAGATCTGAGATTTTGAACATTCAGTTTAAGTTGTTGATACAGAACAGTATGATTAAATGTAGATTTTTGCAATAAGAGGTAAGTGAAACTTTTGACGGATTCTTTGTCTTTAACGCGAGCCCAGTTCACTTGGCGGTCATCATCTGGACAAATTCTGTGGAGAACGAAGAGGCGGAGAAAGAAAAGCCATCAGGAATTATAACACAGCAAGCCTCAGGACCAATCAGAGCTCTGGAGCTTCTAATAACACTCATGACCAAGCTCACCTTCGTAGTTGACCTGTCCGTCCCCGTCGATGTCTGCTTCCCTGATCATCTCGTCTACTTCCTCGTCTGTCAGCTTCTCTCCCAGGTTAGTCATCACATGACGCAGCTCTGCTGCACTGATGTAGCCATTTCCATCCTGACAAAGAGATGGGGAAAAGTGATCAGACCAACACGCGTGCCATTTCAGTGTTTCTCCGCATATCTACTCTGGATTTGTGAGGCAGGAGGTCAAATCCAAAAAAAGATCCCGTTTTACTCTTCACCACATCCTCCAACGAGGAGCACGCTGGATTAGTTAAGAGTCATTTACAGTGAGGAGCTGTGGCTTCATATCAGAAGTGTTGTTATGAAAAGGGAATTTTATTTTGAAAACTGACTGGCCACTTCCTTCATTCCTATTTCTGACTTCCTGCTTTGAATATGACATGAGGCGAGTCAGTTTCCCCACACAGACTTAAGTCGAGTCGTTTAAATGCTTCAAATGCATCAGGACGAGTGCTGAGAACACACCGAGGGCTCGTATGGAAGTTTTTTTTCCCACAAGAATTT